GCAACAACAACAACAACACGAACACGAACAATACCAACACCAACAACACGACCAATAACACCAACACCACCAACAAACCCAACCACACCAACAACACTAACAACACCAGAAACACTACCACCAACAACAACACCAACACCACCAGCACCACCAACACCACCAACACCACAACCACCACCAACCCCAACCACATCGCCGAAGCCTTTCAGTCGCTTTTAGCAGACTCCCCTTCATATTTTTGGAAAGAAAATGGCCGCGTCGCTTTTACCAGACTCCACTTTATGTATTTTTCCCTCCCCTCTCCCCTTCATTTTTTCTTCGATTCCTTTCTTGCTTACCTACCTTTCGTGTTCCCCCTCTCAAGTCGTCCTTGAGAATTGCCAGATCGATTGCCGTACGTTTGTCTTCTACTTGCGAAAACGTACAAACCAACTTGTTGATGCAATCATATAAGGATCGAGAGTCGACTACCGAGACATAGGGAATGCTGGTCAAATGTCGCTCCCATTCGTGGTTTGCAAGATCGTGGCCTAAAAGTTCAAGTAATAAAAATCTATGCCAATGTATTTGTCCGACACCTTGAATGAGTGCTTGGCACTCAGCACTGAGAGTATTGACTGTCTTCCGTTTCAGTTTTGTTGACTTCCAGGCAGTGACGGATACCATATGTGGTTTCTTCTCAGTTTCCATTCTTTTGTCATAAAACATCATCACAAATCCTCCTTGACTACTACAATTCAGGAGTTTCAAAAACATTTCATTGATTTCGGTAGCTGCTAATTCATGTCCTGGTGGTTGTTTTCCAAAATAGGTTTTTCCTGTCCAGTGATCAGCACTCCACGCACGAATACTGTTGCCACGGGTCCACTCGTCTTCCAAAACTCGGCCTGTGTTGTCGACTGTTCGACGTCCAGGTTGTAGATGGTGTAGGTCAGGACCTTCTGCGGCTCCAGGATGAAATAGTGTTGACCTCGGTGAGGTGTGATGTCGAATCCAATGTGTAGCAGTCTCTTCCCAGTAGTCGGAGGTCGTGTTTTCCAGATATTCTTTGTCCCTGGAATTCGCCCAAGAGGCGTCAGTTGCGACTCCGACTCGTAGATTTTGTGGCTCGATGGGCATTATCTTGATGCCACTGTCGGGATATCTACGTGCCTCGGTGGTAATCGCATTGGCCTCAATCAAGTCCTTGACTCGTGGCTTTGGAAAGGCTTGTTGGAGTAGTGCCACTCGTCCGGCTAGATCGGGTCGACTTTCCTTGGAAAGCCAAGATAATGCCCCAATGCTCGCTCTGAGATTTGAGATCTCCTTGTCGGTGCATATACTGAATCGTTGACGTTTCCGGCTCTTCTCCAAGGGGATGTCAAAGAGTTTCTCAGCGACATAGTGGGCCTGGTTGATCACGATACTGAAGTCTTCCTGTTGTTCAAAATATTTTCCAGTGAATTTCCCTTTTCCAAATTGATATTTCCCAAGCTTGTAATTCTTTTTGATTTCCTCCATTGCCTCTAAATGGGCTTCATCTCCTCCATGCAGTAGATCATCGGTAGCCACCGCAATGACACCGCTCAGTTTTCCATTCTCGTTGATCTTGTAGTAGATGCACGGGTCGGCCAGAGATTGCTGATAATGGAGTTTTTCTGTCAAGAATTTCTTGAGATGAATAAACCAGGCGAGCGGTCCGTCAGTCAGTCCATAGCAGACCTTTTCCAGTTTCAATAGTTGTGATGGTGCTAGGCCTGGAATTCCCTCTCGAGGTTGAGTTGCAAAAAGCAGTCTTTGAATTTGATCTCCAGAATGGAACGCTTGCGTAAAATCCAAAAATCCCAAAAGCCATCGATGGCTTGCAATGAGCTGTGCCACTGTAAGTGCACCTTCTCGGGTCACCTGTGGTGTTGCTGCTTCGATGTCATCAGCTCCTTCTTCTGAGTAGCCCTTCATCACGTGTCGAGCCTTTGCCTTACATGGTTCGTTGTCGGCATCTCCTTGGGCTTGATCAAGAAGGAGTCCATCTTGGCGGGCTGGTTCGACTTCGTGAGGTTCTAGAGGTTTTGCTGTAAGAACCAGTCTGCTCTCCATGATCTTGTCTGGCATCTGTTGCCGGACCTGTGCTGATTCTTCGACACTGAGCACACGGTATGCTCCAATGTCTGTATTGTTTTGGAACTCCTTTCTGATTGCCTTGTCAAATCGCTTCTTGCTTCTCTCATCTAAGGCCTGGTACTTGATCTCCTTTTTCTGCTTGCTCTTCAGGAGGTTCTCGACCTTGGTAAAGTATATCTCGAGATATTCCGTTCGGGATCTCTTCGATCTTGGCTCCTCTTCCTGAGTTTCCTCTTGATCATGTTCTCGTTTCAGTCCTTGATGATCTTCATTGTCGCTTCCTTCATCTTCTTGCACATCTTGTTGATGTCCAGGCTGTACCAAAGCTGCTGGTACAACTGGTCCAAGAGGTTGTGGTCCTTTGACACGTTGTCGCTTGATTGGCATACTGTAGCTGGACTGTTCTTGTTCAGGATCAGCTGGTAGTGGAGCAACTTCAGGTTCATCTTGTAGTGCTTCATCAGGTGCAATAGAAGGTTCGTAGCCCTCTGACATTTGATCTAGTACTCCATCGGGTCCGGGATCTTCTTCAGGAGGTAGAGGATGATCTGATAGATCCAGATAACCTCTGCAGGGCTCGGTGGCGATGTCCTTCTTAGCTCCGACAATGTCCTCCAACCATCCGGAGATTGACATGTTCTCTTCAAGACTGGCGCGGCGGATTCTTTCAGGACTGGCCTTGACCAGAAATCCTCTGTGTGTCAGCCATATAGTGCTGGGCTGGTCAGTCATGACAATCCGGGCCGGTCCTTGCCAGTAGCTAGGACTGAACTTGAGCTTCTTGTCTGCTCCCATCCTGTAGAAGTAGACTAGCTCGCCAATCTCATAGTCGATCCATGGCCTCGGACCGCTGGAAATCGCCCTTCTGAGCGCGTCATTGGCGTCCGCCTCGATGAACGCTTGTGCCGCTGCTTTGCGGAGTTTCATGGATCTTTCGATTGCTAAGTCCGTCATCTTGGATCCAGAGGTTTGGGCAATCTCACTGTGTCCTCCATTAAGGATGCCGCCAGGAATTGTAGGATTGTATCCAAGGACTCTTTGGCACGGACTGAATCCTCCCACAGACATCATTCGGTTCTTCGTCATGCATGAGACGCTGACGAGATCCTCCCAGTCCTTCATGTTCGTACAGCTTGCAGTGTCCATTGCCTTGAGGAGGATGAATTTCATAGTCTTTCCATGTCGTTCAGTCAGGCTTCTCTGTTGTGGTGTTTCAACTGCTGATGGGTCGACGTAGCTTCCGTCAGCTTCTGCCTGAGTGGCGAACTCGCCCCTGAACTCTTTGCCCAAGTCAATGGCCAGTCTTTTCGGTGGGCCAAAGATGCGTAGCCAGTGACGGTATCCTTCTCTAACGTACTGAGGTTTCTTTCCAGGCAATGGTATGAGCAGCTGGAACTTAGTTCCCCAGTCCAGGATGTTCAGGGCTGGTCTCGTCTTCTTGTCAAACGTTGGCAGGTAGACCACATCCACTCCCACACATTCGTTGAAACTGAGTTCTCTTGGAGGTGCACTTCGTCGGACTGGTCTAACTTGTTTGTGTCTTTCACAGACGCTACACTTCATCTTCTTGGCCTGCTCGATGATCTCGGGCTTGGCGTTGGCATACCTGAGAATTCTCAGGAACCGTTCTAGTGAAGGGTGACCTAGACCTTCATGAGCTCGTTGGAGTAATCGCTCCAAAGTGAACCTTCCGGATAGAGGTAAGTCTTTGCCTCCTTCAGATGGTTGTAGGTCTCTTCCGGAATCTGGACATTCTGAAGGATCAAGAGGTTCTTTGGAACGAGGTTGAACTTGGGAGCCTTGAGGTTCTTGGTCACTATAACATTTTTGATCATCTTGTTGTTCCTTGTCACCTTCTTCTCCTCCAGGAAATAGTCTCCGGTCGATCTCGTCGAGCTCATCGCTGTCAGATAGTGGTCCTTGGTGTAGAAGTTCAAACTCCAATCTAAACAGCTCGTTGATCTTGTCGTTCTCCGTGAAGAGCTCGTCGACGGTCATCGTGTAGATCTCGGTCTGGATCGTGTCCTTGTAGGTCTTGAGGATTGTTTCTCTGAGGTCAATCGGGTACTCCTGAGACTTCCTGGATCGATTACCTCCGATAATCGCTTCATGTTGGTGGCTTCCGTCACATCGGCGGCTGAGAGCTCGTGACATATTCTCATCGTTGGTCATGAAGCCTGTTGCTTTTCGATGTAATAATCCGGAAGCTCCTCTCAGTCCATAACAGCATTGATCCGCTCGGGTCATGAACACGTTCGGTAAACGGAGAATTCGCTCCATGGCACGGTGTTTCCAGGAGCTTGCTGAAAGGGGATGCTCGAACACGAAAGTAATTCCCGATTCGAGACAGAGGTGACAAATCTCAATCGCGAAGATGAGAAGCTGATTGCTCTGCTGTTTCTTTTTCAAATACTCTTTCATCAATTCAGGCATGTTTTCCCGTTTCCGTTTTGACAGGTTTTGCAGCTGAGAGTGCATCCGACAAGGAGGTGATATTAATACCAAACCTGGTTTAACCTGCCTTAAATATTCTATGACCTCATTCTGTTTGCGTTTGTCAAGCAGGTTGTCTCCGAGGGTGAGATCAAAAGCTTTTCCAGGTGTCAATCCAAATTTTTGTGTGAGTGGTCCAAAACAATTCGGATTGTAAATTTCAGCAACCACACGCAACTGTTTGTGAGTGAGCCCCATGATCTCTGCGATTTCGTGCGATCTTTTCGACCCTTTTGGCGACAGTTGCAATTCATTGCAAATCTCTTGGTTCATACGCCGCATCAGATCCGCAGTGGCACTTCCTTGATTGCCATCATCAGCTAGAAGAAGCTGGATCTGACGCCAAAAGGCTACCGCTCTTTTTAAGGCGGCACGAATTTTCCTCCCTGTCTTGGGAGGTAAACTCTTCAGTTCTTTCCCTGACGTGCCTCCTTCCACTTGAGGTACTCCTGGAACTCTGCGAACTCCTTCTCCTTGTCTTTCTGCTTGTTCGAAGATGCCGGTACCGGCGTGTCCGAGAGGAGTTTCTTGCAGGTGCTGCACTTCACCTTCTCTCGGATATGGTTCGTCCCTTGACGATTGGTCCTCTGGTGCTTGCACTTCTCCTGAACGATCTCCGTCAAGATGTCGTAGTCGGTCTTGGGATCTTCTCCAGGTTGTTGTCGGAACTTCCAATTGTTCAGTTCGAGGAATGGCTGGCTCTCGGTCCAAACGAAGAACTTGCATTGGCTTCCTTGTTCCTTCGGGCATCGGAAGAACATCTTGTCCGGGTTCTTCTCGGTGTGGCTGATGTGCAGTGCTGCTGGAAGCCGGCAGTGACATTCTGGTCGAGGTCCAAAGAGGATCTCCATCCCGTCCACCTCGTCCACCAACTTGTTGACCTTGGCCTTGGTCTTCTTCTGCCGACTGGCCCTGCTGGACGATGCTGACGGCGATGTGCTCGACGCCTGATCCGTCAGGAGGGTGAACGAGTCCGACTCCGGCTCGCTGAGCAGGATCTCCTCGATCTCGATGTTGCGTCCGCTGGGGAGAAGTCGGCGGTTGACCTCCTTCGCGACGAACTCGTGGAACTGCCTGAGGTCCTCGAACTCCATGTTCTGCACTGCACGATGAAGAACTCCCGAACGTTCGCGTCGTTCTCCAAGAATCCGCTCGATCATCATGTTGAATGGGATCAGGATTGAGAGCAGCTTCCGTGCCATTCTCGACCACGCTGCCCAAGAGATTGGATGTGCTGGCTCGGTCGCACGGCTGCGCTTGTTGCTCCCCAGGTCCATCTCTAACGGGGCGATCGACCTGGTCAGGAACGTGCGAGGGGCACAAATTGTCAGAGACTTTAACTGCTGCTGGACATTCGGCATTCTGAAGTTTCAGAATCTCAAACTCTTGACACTGATGCAGACAGTCGGAATCCTGCAGTTCTTCAAGGCATTGAATTTGTTCTTCAGTAAAATCTTGAAGTGGAATCCGAAGTGCTCCTGATGGTCCTATATGAAGTGGTACCACATGTTGACCATTTTGAAATTGAATTGCCAAGCCCGGTTCCGGATCCAAAATAATGCAGCCCTTGCAGTGAATAAGAAAACTCAATGAAATCAAAAATGGCGCATGAATTGAATTGGCTTGTTCAAATACCGCTGGCTTCAGAAAACTTCCCCGCTTTCCCAGTGAGCATGGTATGTTGGCAATCTTGGTGGTGATGGATGTTTGATGAACACTTCTGAACTTATTGATGGACTTGGACATGGTGATGTGAAGTGGTACTGGAAGTTGGGCTCCAAAAAGTTCCATGGTTCGTGCACCGATAGCTAACCTTTGACATCCAGTGTCGACGGTGGCGCACGTGTGATCGTAGGTTTCCATGTTTTTGCTGGTGAGATTACAGATCCAATTTTCCAAATCAAACAAACCATAAACACCGTGACAAAAATCAAGCATGTCCCGACCCTGGTCACTGTCCATGTAAACTGCGGAGTTTGCGGATCCATGGTTTGCTACATCAAAATCTGTACACGAAGCTACATCGCCAAAATGGCGGTTCTCAGGGTCAGCACTCAGGTGGTGCGGCTCAAGCTCAAGATGTCCTGCGAAGAAGACTTTGTTGGTGTTCTCCAGATAGTTTGTCTCGTGAGATTTGCCAGGGTCTGATTTGGCTGGAGCATTCTTGCACTCCCGCTTCCAATGGCCGACCTGGTGGCAACGGTCGCACCGAGTGCGTCGCTTCAAGGCAGCCAGGCTCTCCTCAGAGTTCTGTCTTCGATGTTCTCGGCCAAAAGATTGGTTGCGGTAGCTGGTACTGCTCCGGCTTCCTGCACCGTAGCCCCTGGCAAGTTCCTTGTTCTTCTTGTTCCGGAGTGACTCAACGTAACTCTTCTTTTTCTGCAAGACGTATGTCGACAAAATCTCGGCCGCATCAGCCTCAGAGATGACCTCGTCGTTGTCCTGGTCGGTCTGCAGGTCCATCAAATTCGCCTCCAGCTCCTTGATGTCGTCCAGGTAGTTCTGCTCGTAGTCGGACTTAGTCTCCTCTGTGAAGTCCTCGTCAACGGTGTAGAGCAGCTGGTTCGTCTTCTTCTTATTCGATTCTGCTCCCAGCTCTGCGGCGGAGAGGGTCGTTTCATTCTTCCTCAGCCAGCTCTTGATTGACGATGGCTTGATGCATCCATGGGTAAAATTCATCAACGTCTTCGTCTCGTTCTCGGTCAGCATCAGGCCGTTGACAAGCAAGAAGCCCTCGTACTCTTCAGGGAGTTGGATTTGATGCTGGTGCACTTTACGAAGTGCTGTATCCCATCTGGCGAAAAATTCTCGCCAGTCCTCATTCTTCTGCCTTCTGATATGGTATGTCAGTCTTGACATCGCGGTCAACATATGTTCTTGTTGATCATCTCCATAACGTTCAGGCCTGTTCATGTCATCCAGCAACTTTTCAGCGTTGGAGGTGTCCTGCAACCATAGAGGGTCTTTGGCCCAATGCTTGTACACCTCGAATGGTGTGGAAGTCAATGACTTGAGCAGCAGTGGGCCTCTCATCTTCGCCTTGGCCTTCGTCGTTGCCAGCCACAGGCGGGCCTTGATGTTGTAGTCCTCGAACGTCGAGGAGGTGCCATCCCATGTCGGCGGTGGCCCCGAGCTACCTCGGGAGTCGCCATTGTCGTCCTCGTCGTCCTCATCCCTGTCGCGAATCCTCCGGGGTCTATACGGACTCATGCGACCCTCACGTTCCATCGCCAAAAAGCGCTGAAACCTGGCAAAGGCCTCTGAATCACTACCTTGTACCTCGGGATTTCCACGTCGGCTCGCTGGTGAAGCACTTGGAGGTGGATCATCAAGATCTCCGTCGGACGTCGGCACGGCATGTGAAGCCATGTTCTAAGAAGTCCGAAAGGGGGTCAAGTGCCACTTCCAAAAGGGTCAAAATTGTTTCAACCAAAAATCAAGGGTGGCCCGGTCGAACCGGGCTCCGCTACCACTATAAAACCAATGAATCCGCAGCAAACCCAAACAAGCAAGGCTTTGACCCTTTCTCCGTGGACACTCAACCCCCGTTCGGATCATCATAACCTAAAGGCTTGCCTTGAGTCATGCGTCGAAGGCAGGTCAGATTTCACAGCTCGTTTTTCTGCGCCCACGTGTCTCGTCTCGAGTCTCTGGTTTTCCTGTGGCATCGCCGTGTCTATGGGGGAAGCTCCGCACTCCACACTTTACTCTGTACACTCCTCACTCCACACTCCACACTTTACACTCCACACTTTACACTTTGCACTTTACACTCCTCACTCCTCACTTGGGACTCCACACTCCACACTCTACACTTTACACACTCCACACTCCTCACTCCACACTCCACACTCTACACTTTCCACTCCACACTCCACACTTTACACTCCACACTCCACATTTTACACTGTACACTCCTCACTCCACACTACACTTTACACTCCACACTTTACACTCCACACTCCACACTCCTCACTTTACACTCCACACTCCACACGTCACACTCTACACTTTCCACTCCACACTCCACACTTTACACTCCACACTCCACACTCTACACTTTACACTCCACATTCTACACTTTACACACTCTACACTCCCCACTCCACACTTTACACTCCACACTCCTTACTTTACACTCCACACTCCACACTCTACACTTTCCACTCCACACTGCAGACTGGTAACAGGGGAAATATGTACAAGACTGTTCAAATAAATTATTGCAGAAAAGTGTTGTGCGTGACTGCATATCCATGTGTTTTGACATCTGTACCACTAACATACCTGTGAGCATTCGGGTTCGTGGGTTGCATCTTGTTTTTTGCAAGGTATCTAAGATTGGCATTGATGTGAACCGTTAAAATAAGCCCAAAGAGTATCCCCAACAGCGAGAAACAAAAACAGTTGCCAAACACGCAATGAATGAAGTATGTTTATTGCCCCGCCCTTTTTACTCTAGAGGTCGGGCGTGCAAGCTGCAATCACGGCACCAACACTGTATGAAAAAAACGTTTTTCCAAAAGCGTTTGCGATACTGTGGCCAACATGCCCGAAGCTCGTGCAAAGGGTTCTCTTCCCAAAGAACTGCGGTCCGCCTCACTCTTCACTTCATCTACCTAACATACATCATCCACATCTTTTTTGTCCTTTATATCACCTACATCTTCTATACCATCTTCTAGACCATCTTCCCTATATTTACATCTACATCTACACCATCAGCATCATCATCATCATCATCACCTACATTTGTCTCACCTACATTATCTACACCACCTACACATTTGTCCATCAACCTCATCTATATGACATGTTTTATCTACAACACATACATTACCGGCATCATCATCACCTACGTCACTACATCCTCTACATCACCCACATCACCTACATCTTCTGCACCATCGTCCCTGCATCATCATTATCATCATCATCATCACCACCACCACCACCATCATCATCATCTATCTCACCTACACCATCTACATCACCTACCCACTCCTTTTCCATCAGCTCATCTACATGACATGCATCATCTACAACGCATACATGCCCTACATCATCATCTATATCGCTGCATCCCTACATCACCTACCTCTTCAAACCTATCTAACCTTACATCACTTACAAGACTTACAACATCATCGTCATCATCTACAATATACATAGACAACGACACCTACATCAGCTACAGGTGATCAACTTCTAGGGAACTCCTACAACACTTGAAAAATGTTGTTTACACAGGAGTTGACTTGCAGGTGATCCACTTCTACTTGAACTCCTACAAGAGTCCTGCCTGCAAGGTCATTTGCACAGAAATTGTTGCACAGGAGTTGCTACACAGGAGTTCAGCTAACTTCCAGTGATCAAATTGTATGTGAACTCCTGCAAAATCAGACTTCTCCAGTTCTTCTATTTCTCTCTGGCGGCAGCGACAGCCAGGCGGTGGCTTACGAAACGTTACCCTCTGCGGCGTGTCGGATACCCAAACGTGTGGCGAAATGCGGGTCTTGTTTGTCCTTGGGCCCGCAGCAACCGTCTGCGGAGACAGAGATCGCGCAGGTCGGACATCCAAACACGTGGCAAAATGCAAATTTGGCAGGGCCCGGCGCAGCCCCTTCGCACGAAATGAGGGTCAACCATCAAAAACTGGTGTATTTTGAAAGTTCAGATGCAAGCGTGGCATGAAAGCTAAACGGCAATAACTGTGGGAAAACTGAGCTTTTTTTAACGTCAGATGCAAACGTTCAAGAATTGGTGTAAAATTGCGACTTTATCCATTTTGGATCGTCAGGCACAACTGTTTCACGCGAAATAAAACTGGTGTAAAAATGCGATTTTACAAGGTCAGGCGCAACCCATTTCACGCAAAATGATTGTCCAACGTCAAGAATGGCGATTTTCCAGCGCCGGATGCAACCCCTTCGCACAATATGATGGCCAAACGTCAAAAACGTAAAATTGCGACTTTTTGAAGTGTGTAAAAGCTGCTCTGTGGAATCGGTTTTTCTGTGGGAAAGCGTCTGTGTGTAAAGGCTTCTCTGTGTAAAAGCTTCTGTGCGTAAAAGCCCTGTGTGTACAAGCCTTCTGTTTGTAAAGACGTCTGTGTGTAAAAGCTCGTGCTCAAAAGCTTCTCTGTGTAAAAGCTTCTGTGGAAAAGCTTGTGTGTGTAAAAGCTTCTGTGTGTAAAAGATTCTCTGTGTAAAGGCTTCTCTGTGTCAAAGCTTCTGTGATTCTCTGAAAAACCATCTGTGTCTAAAAGCTTCTGTGTGCATAGGCGTGTATATGTCAAAGCCTCTCTGGGTAAATGCTTCTGTGTGGAAAGGCATCTGTGTTCAAAAGCTTCTATGTGTAGAAGCATCTGCCGCATCTGTGTGAAGAACTTTTGTGTAAATGCCTCTATGTGTAAAGACCTGTCTGTGTAAAAGCTTGGGCATTTGCGTGTTTAAAGTTTCTGTGTGTATAAGATTGTATAAGCTGCTCTGTGCAAAGGCCTCTCTCTGTGTAAAAGCTGCTCTGTGTAAACCCTGCTCTGTGAACAAGCTTCTATGCGTAAAAGCGTCTGTGTGTAAAAGCTCTGTGTGTACAGGCGTGTGTGTGTAAAGCTTTTGTGTGTGTGTGTGTAAAGCTTTTGTGTGTAAATGCTTCTGTGTTTGAAAGATGCTCTGTGTAGAGGCTTCTCTGTGTAAAGCTTGTGTGTAAAAACTTCTGTGCGTAAAAGCCTGGGGGCGTTTGTGTGCAAAAGCTGCTCTGTGCATCTCTGTGTAAAAGCGTCTGTGTGTAAAAGCTGCTCTGTGTAAAGGCCTCTCTGCGTCAAACCTTCGGTCTGTAAGCTCTGTGAACAAGCTTCTATGCGTAAAAGCGTCTGTGTGTAAAAGCTCTGTGTGTATGTAAAGCTTTTGTGCGTGTAAATGCTTCTGTGTATAAAAGATGCTCTGTTTAGACGCTTCTCTGTGTCAAAGCTTCTCTGTGTAAAGCTTCCGTGTGAAAACCTCTGTGCGTAAAAGCCCTGTCTGTGTAAAGGCCTCTCTGCGTCAAAGCTTCAGTGTGTAAAAGCTGCTCCGCATAAACGCTGCTCTGTAAAAACAAACCTAAGTGTAAAAGCTGGTCCGCGCAAAGGCTTCTCTGTGTGAAAGCTGCTGTATGTAAAAACCGTTTGTGCTCAAAGTTCCTTCCCACAAACGCTTGTCTGTGAAAAGCTTCTCTGTGCAAAATCTTCTCTGTGTAAAAGCTTCTGTGTGTAAAAGCTTCTGTGTGTAAAGGCATCTCTGTGCAAAAGCTTCTGTGTAAAAGCTTTCTTGTGAAAAGGCTGTAAAAGTTTCTGTGTCTAAAAGCTTCTTTTTGTAAGGCATGTGTGTGCAAAAGCTCCTGTGTGTAAAAGCTTGGGCATCTGCGCGTTAAAGTTCCTGTGTGTAGAAACTTCTTTGTGAAAAAGCGTCTGTGTGTAAAGCTGCTCTGTTTAAAGGCTTTCTGTGGTGACAAGGCTTTTCTGTGTAAAAGCTTCTGTATATAAAAGCGTCTGTGTGCAAAAGCGTCTGTGTAAAAGCTGCTCTGTGTAAATCCCTCTCTGTGTAAAGGCTTCTGTGTGTAAAATCTTCTCTGTGTAATTTTTTTCGCTGTGTAAAGACAACGTGTCTTTTGATTCTGACTGTCGCTCAGGTGCCAGCCCTGGAGCAAACCCTCTGCGGGGAGAAAAAAGGCATGAAATCGTGGATATATATAACATTTGACTCGCGTCAGCTATCATTCATCATCATCTCCATCGCCATTCATCCTCGCCATCGTCATCGCCATCACTATCGTCATCGTCATCATCATCATCATCATCACCATCATCATTTTTCTTGTGTATGATCTTCTCGTCTCTTCCCTCCTGCTTTCTTTCATGCCACGCTGTCGTCTAGTGTTTCTATCCATGTGCGAGTGCCGTATCATGTTTTGAAGCAAAACTAGTTCTTCTTCAATCTCTCCATTCCGTTATTAGAACAAGTCTTCAAACTTTGCAGTTCTCCTGATTCTGTTGTTCAATGTTCTTGGAACCTTGCCTGGGCAACTGTTCTTGGACACGTTGCTTGACACTTCGGAACCTTGCTTGGGAACCTGTTCTTGGGAGCCTATTCTTAGGAACCCGCTCTTGGGAGCATTGCCTGGTAACCTGTTCTTGGGAACTCTCTCTTGGGAACCTGTTCTTGGAAACTTTGCCTGTTTGCTTCAAACCTGTTCATTGGGACCTTGCTCGGGAACCTGGTTTTCGTAACTTTGCTTGGGAACCTTGTTTAGGAACCTGTCCTTCGGAACCTTGCTTGGGATTCTGTTCTTGCTTCCAACCTTGCTTGCAGATGTTGGTTGAAATTTCGCTTTGCAAGTTGTTCTTGGAAAGCTGTTCCTGGGAACATGAGCAACCTGGAACCATGCTTGGGAACGTGTTCGTGGGAACCGTGCTGGCAACCTATTGCTCGGAACCTTCCTGGAGAATTTGTTCTTGGAACCTGAACCAGTTCTTGGGAACCTGTTCTTCGAACCCTTGCTTGAGAACCTGTTCTTGCGAAGCTTGCTTGCAAACCTGTCCTTGGGCACCTTGCTTGGGACCTGTTCGTGGAAACCTTGCTTGGGAACCTGTTCCCAAGGACCTTGCTTGGTAACCTTGCTACCCTGCAAGCAAACCTGTTCTTGGAACTCTTGCTTGAGGCACTGTTCTTGGAACCTTGGGAACTTGTTCCTGGGAACCTTGCTTGGCAACTGTTTCTGGAACCCTTGCTTGGGAACCTGTTCTTGGGAACCTGACTTGGAAATCATTCCTGGTAACCTTGCTTGCGAACCTGTTCCTGGTAAATTTGACTGGAAATCTTGTTCTTAGGGTGGCTGAAGACCCCAACCTTACGCTGTTGGGGAAAAAGTTCCCAAGCAAGTTCCAAGGAAGAGGTTCCCAAGCAGGTATCCAGGAAGAAGTTCCCAAGCAAGGCTAATTAAGCTCTTAGGAACCGCTTGCAAGTACGGTTCCCAAAAACCGTTCCCAAGCAAGGTCCCAGGAACCGTTTCGGCGCAAGGTTCCAAGCAGGAACAAGGCTTGCAGGAACAGGTTCCCAAGCAAGCGTTCCCAGGAAGAGCTGGTTCCCAAGCAAAATTTCCAAGAGCAACTGGGAACCCTTGCGTGCGAACCTCTTCCTGGGAACCTTGCTTGAGAACCTCTTCCTAGCAACCTTGCTTCAGACTCTGTTCCTGGGAACCTTGCTTGGGAACCTTTTCCTGGAAACATTGCCTGGGAACTTTTTCCGGGAACCTTACTCGTGAACCTGTTATTGGGAAACTTGTTTGGGAACCTGTTCCTGGGAACCTGTTGCTTGGGAACCTCTTCCTGGGCACCTTACTTGTGAACCTGTTCTTGGGAACCTTGTGTGGGCACCTGTTCCTGGGAACCTGCGGCTGGGAACCTTGCTTGGGAACCTCTTCCTGGAAATATTGCTTGGGAACCAGCTTGCTGGGAACCTTGCTTGGACACCTCGTCGTGGAAACTTCTTCCTGGAAACACTTGTTTGAACAAAACCTGTTCTGGGAACCTTGTTTTGCTTGGAAAAGCATGTTCCTGGAAATCTTGCTTGGGAAATGGTTCCTGGAAACCTTGAAAACGGTTCCTGAAATCCGTGCTTGCAAAACCTGTTCCTGGGAACCTTGCTTGGGAACCTCTTGCTGGGAACCCTTGCCTGGGAACCCTTGCTTGGGAACCTGTTTCCTGGGAACCTTGCTTGGAACCGCTTGGGAACCTTGCCTGGGAACCTCTTCCTGGCAACATTCCTCTTGGCAACCTCTTCCTGGGAAGCCTTGCTTGGGAATCTGCTCCTGGTAACTTTGCTTGGGAACCTTGCATTGCTGGGAACCTCTTCCTGGGAACCTTGCTTGGGAACCTATTCCTGGGAACCCTTGCTTGGGAACCTCTTCCTGAGAACCTTGCTTGGGAACCTCTTCCTGGGAACCCTTGCTTGGGAACCCTTGCTTGGGAACCCTTGCCTGGGAACCCTCGCCTGGGAACCCTTGCTTGGGAACTTGCTTGGGAACCTCTTGCTGGGAACCCTTGCTTGGGAACCGGTTCCTGGGAACCTTGCTTGCGAACCTTGCTGGTAACCTTGCTTGGGAACCTTGCCTGGGAACCTTTGTTGGGAACCTTGCTGGGAACCTCTTCCTGGGAACTTCTTCCTGGGAACCTCCTCCTGGGAACCTTGCCTGGGAACTTTGCTTGGGAACCTTGCTGGGAACCTCTTCCTGGGAACCTTGCTTGGGAACCTTGCCTGGGAACCTTGCTTGGGAACCTTGCCTGGGAACCTTGCTGGGAACCTCTTCCTGGGAACCTTGCCTGGGAACCTTGCTTGGGAACCTTGCCTGGGAACCTTGCTGGGAACCTCTTCCTGGTAACCTTGCCTGGGAACCTTGCTTGGGAACCTTGCCTGGGAACCTTGCTTGGGAACCTTGCTGGGAACCTCTTCCTGGTAACCTTGCCTGGGAGCCTTGCTTGGGAACCTTGCCTGGGAACCCTTGCCTGGGAACCCTTGCTTGGGAACTTGCTTGGGAACCTCTTGCTGGGAACCCTTGCTTGGGAACCGGTTCCTGGGAACCGGTTCCTGGGAACCTTGCTGGTAACCTTGCTTGGGAACCTTGCTTGGGGAACCTTTGGGGGGAACCTTGCTGGGAACCTCTTCCTGGTTGCTAGGAACCGTTGCTTGGGAACCTGTTCCTGGGAACCTTGCTTGGGAACCTCTTGCTGGGAACCCGGTTCCCAACCTTGCGCCGTGCCGATCTGGCTGCCCCGAGGGATTCTCCCGTAAAAGGAAACTCCTCCCCGGAACCTTCCCCGGAACCCGGTTCCCAGCGGATTTGGCTGCTCCGACCTGCTCCGGAACCTTTACTATGGCTGAAGACCCCAAGCTTACGCTGTTGGGGAAAAAAACCAATGGCTGTTAGACGAGTGGCCAGAATATTCCTCCATAGCAGCAAGGCTCCTGAGGCAAATCGTGCCAGTGACGCATGCTTCAACCCAGTTAACAAAAGGTTTGTTTTCTGAAACAGTTGGATGGTAAAGATATGTTATGAAAATGTACGAAAATCATATACAGTTAGAATATGTTAGAATGTATTTGAACTGGAACATATTAGAACTACATCAATATGATATCGAAGCAAAGGGGCAAGTCTTGACCTGGATCATGATTCAAGGCCAATCCACACATTTTCAGCAACGAAATGGGTTGGGAACCCCATACAAGGTGGGGCCTCCAGTTAGTTTACATAAACCCCGTTAGATAACCATAGTGGTTTCTATACCATAAAGCATAGCTGTAGTTATAAACCAAACCGCCGAGCATCCATAGTAATACCGCTCTGTCTTGAACCTTTGGAATAGGAAACGATGGCGATGGACGAGCTGTAACCCCCGGCCACTCGCCACACGCGCAGGGTAGCGCAAGGTGGTGTAGGTGGCCTGAAGAAATGAGGGCCACAAATAGCTGGAGCTGGAAGCCAGCTAATGCATCAATTAGCCTCCAGTAAATTGTGATAGACCCTGAAAAAGTCAGTAGTCCATTTTTAGTGGAAACTAATCGTCCAACCCTTCTGGCAGGGTCTATGTTAGTTCACTGCAGGGTAAGTCATTCAACAAACAAGGCATGAGAAATGTATGACTCAAGCCACAAACATGTTTTACAGCAACAGCAGGTAAAAAATGGTGTGGTAATCCTAGCTATATTGCCAACATCCTGGATGCAGATTCTCAGATTATGTATGTACACATTTTCGGCCTCCAAGTCCCCCTCTATCAATGGCTCGTTCAGTCCCATTTTATCAAGGGCTAGAGTAGAGTATCCACAGTATCCGCATTTGTTCATGACCTTTGTGGCTACTTGGAGGATAGCTACCCATCTTATCGTTGCGCTCATCCCAGGTGCCCATGTCAGGATCGCCACAGGATACGCCAAAATGCCCAGGATGGCGAGGATTACGAGGCCCGTATGCTCGTCTGGCACCCACGACATGTTTTTTTGGGGGGGTCCGTGGCCTTTATTCACTGATTCACCAGTTAAATCACCTGTTCAAACACAAAATGAGGACTTCATTCAAAGCTTCGGATGAGCTCATTCAGCAAAATTCACGAAAACATCCAGACTGATGCGCATTCAACGGGACGTCATCCACAGCAAAAGGAAAATAGTGGGGTCATCCCAAAATCATGAGTTCATTGGAGGAAAATGGGAGGTTCATTGAGAAAAGTGAGGATTTCAAAGCTTCTTAGCCCGGCAATAAGCAACATGTTTTGAGCAGAGATGAGCCAAGAAAAGGTTAGAATTATATGTTCGAGCCAACACAGAATGGGGAGTTCACTCACAAAATCGCAGTGAGAAATGCGAATGTAACATGCCATCATCCAACTGCAGCTAGCGCGGATTGCAACTGATATCGCTTCACCCAGGTTTGATCACTCTATTAGGTGTACTTCATCACCTTTCCCGCAAGGATCACATTTGCTGACCAACGTTTGATGGAAATGCTGATCATCTGCCCTTCATGTCGGAAGATCCCGACCTATTTGGCTTATACCAACATATAACAACCGACTCTCAGAAAAGAAGGATAATATGTATAGAATCGCCACAACATCCACATCCCAATCCCCATCTCTCCCAAGCCCCACCTGAGTCAAAGCACAAAATGCCCGGATTCCTTGGATATCTTGGATTTGCAGATGGTCAAAAAAACACCAACTCAATGGATTGGTGTTAAGGGAAAATTTACAGGAAAGCCCCATATATCCCATATTTCATGGGAAAATCTATGAAAATCGATGGTTTCCGGTTGAGATTTTCCCAACAAAACATATCCATTGTCCACCTGAAAAATCGTCGCCGGGATTCGACACCATCGACCTGGAGCCGTCGGGATTCTTGGCACAGCGCAAGGGGTCCAACACCACGAGACTAATGGAGATGAAGAGCGCGAAGATCAGGATGCCACTGAGGTTCAAGATGGCATCCTGGATCACATATATCACATTGATATCACATTACATCAGGATTTCTTGGAAAAAACCTGGAAAAGTTGGAAATGAAGCAAACCAGCTGGTGATTGAAATTATTGATTATGTTGATATATGTGTTGATATATGATCTTAAATGATCTTAATCAACCGAAATGTGGAGTTTAATCGAGTGTATATCTTAATGGTCGCTGAGCCTGGGAATTGGGATAAACATATGTATAGAAGGGGTAAACCAATGGGAAGCCAAGGGCGAACGTTTAATCCAAGAACAAAACGTTCTCGGAAACGTGAGCCCTATAGATTCCCCAAATGGTGGATTCACCAATATATATTCTGATATTGAGATTCGGAATTGAGTTTTCTGCATCTTTTTGGGGTTGCAATATACGCTATATATTTCTATGTATTTCTTCAGTGATCCTTGCCCAATGTCACCAAGCATCCAGCGACAAGCTGCGACCGCGGCAGTTGGAGATCAACCAGCAAACGATGAAGAAGGCAATACCCAATGGACACACCAGCAGTTGCCCCACCTCAGCCCAACCCTTGGGGCGGTATGGCGCGGTATGGCTACTGTATGCTACTGTCACTGCTTGGTGCGAAACAGGGTCATCCCAAAGATTCCAATGTTTGGTTGAAGATATATAAATAACACAAGATTAATTGAAACATGTTGATACCATTAATATAAATTATATATTATATTTATATAATATTAAATAATGATGTATTGTATGTAGTCAGTGTAGCCGTGTGTTACCCCCCAAGACGCACCATTTTGTACAACTCCGTCCCATACAAGTAGTAACAAATATCGAATAGGGCTTATAACGGACTTCAAAGCATCTCTAAGCCTCTAAACTCCAAACTGAGATTTTCTTGGGCATACAGCCATCATCACTTTACCCATGGAGGGCTTCGGGTCCTTGGCCTGTTTTTCTGCATGTTGGGCGAACGAACTCATCACCTACTCACCTAGTCTAACCAAGGATCTTTAGCTTGCTTCAGTTCTGAAGCCTACGCCCTCGCCGGGTCTCATGCCAAAAGAAAGAGAAGCAACACCGCAACACCAGCTTGACACATCTTGCATTTCACCTCGCCCAGTGCGCGAAGCACAGCAGCAGTCGTGGGGTGATCCCTATCCGCATGCGCAAAGCACACTATTCGCAAAGACTCCTCCAGCTACTTCTGTGCTTGTTGTGTAAGATCTCCAGCCTGCCGATTCACCTCGCCCAATGCGCGAAGCACGGCAGCAGTCATGGGGTGATCCCTATCCGCATGCGCAACGCGCATTATTCGCAGAGACTCCTCCAGCTGCTCCTGCGCTTGTGTAAGATCTCCAGCCTGCCGATTCACCTCGCCCAATGCGCGAAGCACGGCAGCAGTCATGGGGTGGTCCCTATCCCCACACAAGGAGCGCACCATTCGCAGGGACGCCTCCAGCAGCTGCTTTGCTTGATTGAGATCTCCCACCAGCCGATTCACCTCGCCCAATGCACAAAGTGTTGAAACAAGACTGAAGTGAGCTCTGTCCCCATGTAAGGAGCGCTTCATGCGCAAGGACTCCTCCAGGTGCTTCTTTGCCTGCGTGAAATCTCCAGCACGCTGACTAACCTCGCCCAATGCCCGAAGCACAGCAGCAGTCGTGGGGTGATCCCTATCCGCATGCGCAACGCGCATTATTCGCAGAGACTCCTCCAGCTGCTCCTGCGCTTGTGTAAGATCTCCAGCCTGCCGATTCACCTCGCCCAATGCGCGAAGCACGGCAGCAGTCATGGGGTGGTCCCTATCCCCACACAAGGAGCGCACCATTCGCAGGGACGCCTCCAGCAGCTGCTTTGCTTGATTGAGATCTCCCACCAGCCGATTCACCTCGCCCAATGCACAAAGTGTTGAAACAAGACTGAAGTGAGCTCCGTCCCCATGTAAGGAGCGAGCGCTTCATGCGCAAGGACTCCTCCAGGTGCTTCTTTGCCTGCGTGAAATCTCCAGCACGCTGACTAACCTCGCCCAACGCCCGAAGCACAGCAGCAGTCGTGGGGTGATCCCTATCCGCATGCGCAACGCGCATTATTCGCAGAGACTCCTCCAGCTGCTCCTGCGCTTGTGTAAGATCTCCAGCCTGCCGATTCACCTCGCCCAATGCGCGAAGCACGGCAGCAGTCATGGGGTGATCCCTATCCCCACACAAGGAGCGCACCATTCGCAGGGACGCCTCCAGCAGCTGCTTTGCTTGATTGAGATCAACAGCCTGGTGACTCAACTCACCCAAGTCATAAAGAGTTGCTGCAATTTCAGGGTGATCTACGTTTCCGTGTTCATTCTTCAACTCAAGCAGCTTGTGCTCCAAGTGTTGCATTTTGGCTTCGATATCTCCGGCTGAGCTTTCCTCAACAGCGTCATCCTCCCCTTGGGTTCTTGTATCCTCCGTGACGCTCCACGTTACCTCGGTGACACTTCCCGCAAGGGGGGCATGCACGTGCGATGGTGCGGTGGGCAGAGTGAAGGCAACTGACTCGGTATCTGCAGCCAGCTGAGGAACAACTTCCACCCGCACCAATGGCTGAAGCATCGGAAAACCTTTCTGAAGGGCGTGAATGATTCTCACGCAAGCTGATCTCCAGGTGGGATGAGAAGCTGGCGATGCATGCAGTTCTGCCACTTCTTTTGCACATTCACGAACTGCTGTGAAGACTTGCAAAATGTTGCTCTCATCAAGGTCCTACGCAGCACAAGAACAAAATTCAACACTGAAGGCCAAAACTGCGTGGTGATTACCCAGTGTTTCCATAAATTTCCTACATCTAGATCTGGACATGATTTGTTTTACCTGAATAACCCACACTGTGCAAAATTATCGCTCGAAATCCGAAACAGCAATAATTATTGCCGGTTGCCTAAATTTTCACTGTTTCCAGTTTTTTCGCCGTTTCAGTTTCCACATTTTGGGCTCTTGTTTTTTTCGCCGTTTCGTCGGTTTTTTTCGCCGTTTCAAAACCGGCAAACATATGCAACATGAGAAAAATGCAAAATCTGTTCAGAGGCAGAAAAAAATGCCGCCAGTAATAATTCCTGAAAAGGCAATATTTTTGCATAAATTGAAAGACGCAGGTATTATCGTCATATATTACCATGCCCATTGAAGGCCTCAAGGAACTCCCGATGGCCCTGGCCCTTCCTGGGAGTCTTGCACCTGGAGGAATGCCTCGTCGTCGGGGCCCAGCAAGGCCTGGATTTTCTTCGCTAACTTCTGGATCGTGCACGCTGTTTCCCACATGTCAGCAGCTGCTTCTCCTGCATCTTGCGGGGCCAAATCCCTGATGGCTTTGAAGATGGTCACAATCCTCAGATGATTCGCGACGTCAACTGATGCATCTTTTCAAAAAAATGCCAGGATTTGGAGGGGATACTGCAACTCAGCAGTTTTCTGGTGGCACAGTTGGGAGCGACGGAGTCCGTTGCATCTGCAAGGATCCTTTGGTGATGTCTGGAGTCCCAGCCTCCATGGCCCTGATGGCCTTAAACTTGGCTATCCAAATCCGAAGTTGATGGGGCTCAAAACAGCCAAAACCAGCCCTGTATGTATGAAGCTTTGGTGATGCCATTGTTGATTCCATGTCACAATGTCCTAAAGCTCACAGGTTTATCGAGTCTAGCGGGAAAAAGTTGGGCACTTTCTGCCAAACATAAAGGCATGACATAAAGGGGAAGGAAAAAACACATGCTGCTCCAAACTTCTGCAAGGATCTCGAGGTCAGTCTGGCGCTGGGCCATGGCATGGCCAACAAACTGGTGATTCTACATGCTGACTGCTCCTATCTGGGTTTCAAGAAAAAAACAACTGTGAAGGGCTGCAGGATTTTGTGCCAGCGCTTGGTCCTAGCAAACTGCCTTTCTATTTAGCTGGAGAAAAGAAAATATAATTAGTATAGTTCACTATGATCTAATCAGGCTATTTTGGGATAGTTACGCCTTACTATGATTCCAGTGAGGTCGCAGTGAGGTCATGATAATTTACGGACATATCTATCATTATCTACCTATCTATGCAACGGATATCCAAGCATATTTCCATCATTTTCCATCCCTTCATCGATTCATCCTGCTGTCGCTGTGTCAGTGATCCACAAGAACCCATCAAAAATGGGCGGAGCGGCGCTGCATAGTCCAAGAAAATATGAACCAAGAGGTAACAACGGGAAATAGTCCAGCAAATGGTCATGACAGTCATGGAAAAGGATGGAAAAGGCCATACCGGGTAAGCCTTGGCAACGTGTTTTTTCCCAAATTTCCAGCCCCAGCCGGTTTTCCTCACGAAACCATCCCTTTTTCCGAGGGGCAAAGACCAAGGTGGGACTGTCTCTGCCAAAGAGGCAACTGATTTTGATCAGGTCCAAATCCTGAAGCGAAGCAGCGAGAGAAGCAGCTGTGGGCTGCTAGAATCGAATCTTTACTGAATATCACTGAACATGAGCTGGTTGGTGGTTTGCAACCTATGATATAGTCATCGAAAAACCCATGATCCCTCTTGTATGGTTGGACAAGCAGAAATATGTGAAATCCCCAGCCAGTCAACATCCTCAGGAATCATATGGGATCATCACTGGCTTTGTCGCAGCTTCTGTCTCTCTATGTCCTACTGTTGTCCCATAGTTTGAATCATCATTTCCCATATTTTCCCTAGGTAAGATTGCCATTGATCCTGGAGGACTGGAGGGCGCCTAACTATGACAACACCAAGATGCGAAGGTCAGAATTTTGGTGAACTCGATCAAGTAGCGCACGGGATGCACCCACTCAATGGACAGTTGCCTGGGATGGGAAAACTTTTCTGGAAAATTATCAGGAACCAGAAAAGTCCCATAGACTTTCAAATGATGGGAATTACTGATGGAAAATCATGCCTGAAGACCAGAATCCCTCAGGATGTCACGAACCAAAGTCGGAAAAAAAAACACGGAATGGCGGTAGAATCCTTGATCTCCCCTTTTTTGGTTAGTATCAGACCATGTCATGCTCTCTTGCTTATTATATACAAAATGCTGTAGTTCTTCAGGCCATTTGTGATTGATGCACCGGATGAGTAATTACGTCCTAGACGACTTGATCTCGTGTTTGGAACTCAGCCACGAGCACCAAGTATTCACCGAAGTTATCCCAAATTGCTAAACCATGGGTACTGAACGTGGTTTCCTATCGATCTAAATCACCAGAAGCATCCAGATTCACCTGCAATGCGACTGACAGAGCCCAATGCACCTGACAGAGCCCAAGGTTTGAAGTGCCATAACCATTTGACCACCTACCGCGGCCACGGTCAGCATGTTCAAGCTCTGCTGGTTCAAATCCTGGACAGGACATCATCGGACATCCGAACTGGGGAAAAAGCTGGGCATGCAAATCATCTGGTTTTGGTGAGGATGTGGGATTAATATGATGTGTTATATTATATTTCATATTATATTATATTAAAATATAATCTATTTATTATTTGTTTATTTATTTATTTATATTTTTTATACCATATTATATAACATTAAATTATATTTAAATTAAATAATATATATATATATTTGAATCCACTAGCCAGGCTACTACCGCGGGGTTCTGGACAGTATGAAAGGCAGCTCAACACCTCCGAAACGCAAAGCGCCAATGAAAAGCGCAGTTGCTGATCATTTCGATCCCAACTTGCAGCTGAAGGTCCAACTTGATGCAATTCACTAGCCTCAGAAATCAGTCTGAAGGCTTCTGACTTTTGACATACACTGCTCGATTTTGTCTAATTTTGAAGTTGCAGATCTGGACACCAAAGCAAATGGAGAGCGTTTTTTTATGTGCCCAATCGATAGTGCCGGGCAAATCACCCCCCCTGCCGACGTAGATGGTGCAAGTATTAGTGCTGGATAATCTAAAAAAATCTTGGATGGAAACATTACCCATCATTAGCATCTGGATAAATTATCCTAATTTACACCCCTGAAATAAGGCTAATGTGGGTAAAACAATGATAAACTATCCCCCAGTCATCACCATTTTTACAGGTGGTATATATAAACCATTCCCAGTCATGGGTGGTAAAAATGGCATTGTTTTACCCACATTATATATTTTGGGATAGTTCCCCCTACGAATCATCCACTGAAACTTCCTGAATTTGATGTGTTTTTGTTGCAGATCTGCAGTTTCAGAAGGGCCCAAGACTCGGGACTTGCCGCCCCAATCAACATGTGATGCAGGTCAGTAGTTTTTTTCCCCACCTGCCAGGTGAGGGTTGTTAGATTTTATGTCAGTTGCCTGGTCCTCCTCCTCGTCCTCGTCCTCCTCATCTCCTCTCCTCCTCCTCGTCGTCCTCCTCGTCGTCCTCCTCGTCCAACTGCGACCCGCGATCCACAGTGTTCTCTGCTGGACCTCAACCACGACCATCCACGCCCAGTGTTCCCTGCCGGACCTCAACCACGACCATCCACGCCCAGTGTTCCCTGCCGGACCTCAACCACGACCATCCACGCCAGTGTGCCCTGCCGGACCGCCCAGTGTTCCCTGCCGGACCTCAACCACGAGTATCCACGCCCAGTGTTCCCTGCCGGACCTAACCACGACCATCCCCGCCCAGTGTTCCCTGCCGGACCTCAATGCCAGATAGAATGTTAGAGGAGATATGCCAGATAGAATGCCAGAAGGTATGCCAGATAGAATGCCAGATAGAATGTCAGCTAGAATGCCAGAAGATATGCCAGATAAAGTGCCAGAATGTTTGCCAGATAGAATGCCAGCAGATTTGCCAGATAATATGCCAGAAGATATGCTAGATAGAATGCCAGATGGAATGCCAGAAGATTTGCCAGATAATATGCCAGAAGATATGCCAGATAGAATGCCAGATGGAATGCCAGAAGATATGCCAGAACATATGCCAGAAGATATGCCAGAAGATATGCCAGAACATCTGCCAGAAGATATGCCAGAACATCTGCCAGAAGATATGCCAGGTAGAATGCCAGAAGATATGCCAGATAGAATGCCAGATCGAATGCCAGAAAATATGTCAGATAGAATGCCAGAAGATTTGCCAGTAACAAAATGTATAAATGTCATGGTGGGGATCACACGAAGTAAAGTAATTTTAGCAATGGATAGCAATAATTTAAACATATCGGATGGAAACATTATGAGACAAGCTTGGTGATTCTATTCTTGGCGTGCTTTCATTTCCCAAAAATAATGTGGCCCAAAATTGGTCCGTTGACCCACCCAAGCCAAGAACTGTGAGTGCTGCCAAGCCAGGATTGACAAAACATGACAATCCAAGCATGAATGGTCAAAACCCAGTTGTAGTTTAAAGAGACAGCTCCGCGCATGTTGACCATTCAGTAGTAAGTTCCGATGGCTAAGAAAAATGGCTAGAAGTGGCATCCTTATTTTCAGGGCCAAACAAATATCTCAATCATCTGTGGGTTAGTGCTGGGTTGGAATGTTAGCCTCCAGAAAGCTACAGACATGGAAAGCTCATTATTTGTGTTAATCAGTTCCCACGAAAACTATGTTGTGTCTATATCCAACTCTTGATTTACTGTAGGGTAAACCGCAAATCAGCTGGAAAAATCACAATTGTTTCTGGCTGAACCACCATTTTGACTAATCAACGAGCGTTGTTTTGCTATTACTTTGAGTTGGTCTCGATTTAAGGTGAAGCAATGTGAAACATGCCTTTTTCAGAACTCCAAGGCGCAGGGTCACCATGATCAAGCTGCCCACGATGCATAGAAGGGCTGGCAAATAATCCACGGGGCCACAACCTTTGGAAACTGAAGAAAAGCAACTGATCTGGCTGAACATATCTGTGTATCTCTCGATCGTTCTTTATCTATCCAGCTGTGTAGCTATCTATCTCCCTATCAATCTATCTCTGCCTCTGCCTCTCTGCCTCCGTGTGTCTGGGTGTTTTGTTCTATGTATACATCGATTAATATATATATATATATACATAAATAAATACATATAAGTGTGTATACATCTATATATACATATTCCGATATGAACTACTTACATCTATTTAAACTGGCCACAGCCCGTTTTTGGAAGACAAAACGTCAACGTTTATCCCTGCCAGTCGCTCCAGCCAGCCAGGACCCAGGAAAGTGGCGGGTGCAGGTGCCATCATCCTCGGGAAAGTAGTTCTCCTTGCCTTGATCCAAGTGGATCGATAGATGGACGGGTAAATCTGTGTGTAGGCATGCATATACATACATAAGCATATGTGAACAGAGAATTTGGGCTCTTAAATCTGATGAACACTCCTGAGCACTGATCAGCACCTTTTACTCAGTCAGCTCGAAGGTAGCTGAAAGCACTAAAATGGCTAAAATGGCTTAAATGGCTGCAGCACATATACAAACATATGTACTACATGTAACATGGTCTACACTGTACACATATCTGATCACGCCTCCCGAGCCTGTTCGGAGGCACGGTGAGTCCAAGTGTTTTGAACTAGGCGAGTTTTGATATGTACAGCGGAGCATAGCCACGACTCAAGCCATCTATGCTCTCAGTGTCAGGTGATGCTCACCTTCCAGAAAGTGAAAATTCATATTTCGCAGGGCTTTGTTCATTTTCTCCTCTATGACAGGTTTCGTCAAGACGTCGGCAAGCATATCGCCAGTGTCGACCTTCTTCAGCCGAAAGTAGCGCTTGGCAACGCGGTCTTGTACCCAATGGTATTGAGTATCCACGTGCTTGGCCTTGCCTAGTCCTCTGCGAGAACCCATTGCTATTCCTGCACTCGCGTCCATGAAAACTTCACTCTCGGGTTGCAAACCCCAGTCTTTGGCGGTTGAAACTTCTCCCAGCAAATTGCTGGCACCGCTCACAAGAGCGTAATACTCACTCTCTCCAGACGAAAGACTAACAACTCCTTGTCCTTTAGAATAAGTCTTGATACAACGGCCATCAGGACGCCTCCTGACACGCTCTTCCTCGTCTTCACGCAACCAGCGTGGTCAGCATCAGACCACATGACAAATGGACTGAGTTTGCTCTGATGAGGAAAGAATTGTGCCATGCGTGGTCGATACCTTAGGTATCGTGCAACTCGTTTGAGCATAAGCATGTGGCTGGTAGTTGGTCGTTGTAGCCCTTGTGCTAAAGATCTTGTCGCTACTTGCAGATCTGGTCGGTCTTGTGCCAAATAAGCTGCTCGCATTGCAACTGATCTGTACTGGGTTGCTTCTTCATCATTGAGAAAAACAGTGGCGTTTTTGAGGTCTTCCACTGAACCCTTGGCAAGTGGTGTCTTGACTTTTGCTCCTCGGGGACCATCTCCGAGTAAATCAATCACCAACTCTGCGTGACGTGCATCTGGTTCCCACCAAATTCCATCTTCCTTCCACGTGATGATTCTGTTCAGGACTCTGATGTCCTGGATGGTGTTTGGTGTTCCTGGTGGTCCTAAAATACCACGTTCCACACATTTCCACTTCTTTGACAGCTCTTCATGAAGCCATTTGATGTTGTCAAATGTTCCTGCTGTTGTAAAATCATCTCCATGTACAACAGTTCTGAGGTCTCGGCCTGCATGGTAGTAAATGCACGGATTGCTTTTTCCTTGCTTGAATCCTAAGGCTAACATAACCTTCTGTATTTGCAACTCCCAGTTGAGAGGTGCGTCTCTGGTTCCATACAAAGACTTGAGCAATCTTCCTACCACATCTTCTCCAGGCTTCTTTGCTTCTGCAGGAAGTTCCACATAGATCTCACGCGTCGCATCTGAGTAAAAGTGGGCGCGTTTCACATCCAAAAATCCTAGAAGTCTACGCTTGCGATAGGCTTCCTTGACAGCTTTTCCAGCGTCTGGCAACTGAAACGTGACGGCTATTGTAACTAGCATCTTCAAAGCCGACAAACTTGGCATTGCTGCGAAGAACTCGTCAAAACCTGAGCCCTTCTTGACTTCTTGAGCGACTAGCCTACTTCTATACAGTGGATTCTCTTCATCCTGCTTGTTGACATCTACCCATCGTGTTCCAATGGTGCGTACCCCTTTGGGCATCTTGTGTCTGGGAATCTTTTCCCAAACTGGAACACTTTCGATGATTTCGACCTCATCTTTTCTGGCTTGTTCTACACCTTTGCTGTCTAAAATCTTTCCACTGATATCATCGTAATAATACCATGTGGCTGCTTCATCTTCCAGTTCTGGTGGAAGAGGAATTGTCTCTTCACAAACTGGCTCTTCTTCACCTTCAATAGACTGAAGGTACTTCTCCCGATCTTCCATGATCAGGTTCGTAAGACATTGGTCTATGTCATCCATGTCTTCTGGTCTCTCATTCTCAGGTGGCCGTTTGGTGCCCTTAGACGCCTGAGCTGAAGCAGCTCGGCTGTCCTTGGACTTTGACGTTTCGCCTCCTGAGTCTGCAGGTCTTTTCCGACCTTTGGTTGGAGACATTTCCAACCTTTTGTGTGCTCTTTCTTCTTGCTCGCCTCCTGCCCTCTTGGCTGAGGCTGTGCTTGCGCTTGCGCTTTCTGCAGGTGGATCTGCAGCTTGTCCGGTAGCAGGACTCTGCCTCGCGATAGCAGGTCCAGCTGTTGGCAAACTTGGAGCAGATTCCCCTGTGGCTGAGTACCACAGTTCAGTGACGATATCTGCGTCATCAATCAAAGGCGCGTTGATGACTTCATCTCCTAAACTAGGATCTATTGGTTCAGACTTGATAATGTCTCCTGTTTTGAAATCTCTGGTGACTCTCCACCAGACGTTGTCCCAGTTGGGACCTTCTGGCATAGTACCCTTGAGATACCTTGCATTCTTGTCAAGGCGCGCAAACACCTTGAAACCTTGAGGGACTCCTTGTGGTCTCTCGCTGGAATATCCATAAAGGATCTTTGTGCCTTCTTCGGACACTTCTTGTTTCTGACCAGTGATTTCAGAATCAACCTTGGCCGTATGTTGGGCTACTCTCAGGTTGCCCTCTTCTGCTTGAAGCAGACGTTCCATCCTTTCTCTGCAGGCTGGAGTGTGATGAACTCCAGTGCCTCTTTTGCCAATTCTAGTGGCATCACAGGCGACACAACCAGCGGTGTAGCCATACTTGTCCAAATCACGTTTGGTAATGTAAAGTCGTCTTGTCGACTTCTTTGGTGGCTCAACTGGCACTGATGGCGCCAGTGGCTGCTGATCTCCCTCAACAATCTGAGGAAGCAAAACATCATCTCTTTTTGATGCTTGAGGATCCCATGGAACCCCAGTGACTGACATCAAAGTTTCGGCATCATATCTGTCGTCAGCACTCTTGCGTCGAATGCTTTGCACAGTGAAAACACCTGATGCATTTCCCACTATCTTCTCAGTGGTATTGTCTTTGACTCCCAAGAAAACTCCTTGGTGCCATCTTTGTTCAAACTTGTGACCTCTTTTGAGGAATTCAATTGTTTCCCCAAATGGTGGTAATGACACTCTCCACTCACGACCACGGTGTCTAGAGTACGGTGTCTTCCCATCTTTGACTTCCAATGATCTGTGAAACAAATTGTAAGTGGTGCTAGCATGTTCAACCAACCATGTCAAAACTGGGTGGTCGTCTGGCACCTTTCTTCCATAGCTTGTCTCCAAGGCACTTCTGAGTGTCCTGGATTGAGATTCAATAGCTTGAACTGCTCTTTCAATTTCCCCTTTGGATTCTGAGACTCCTTTGGGAACTTTTTCCAAAACCAACTGTTTGTCAAAACCATTCTTGGCTGCCTCAACTACGGAGTTGAGTGCAGGCTCTGGGTCATACCTCATGACCATCTTGGGGTACCCAAACTTCTTAAGGTCATTCAAAAGACACTTAGATCCAATAGGACCTTGGGTAACTCCCTTGTATGGCAAAACGTGTGCGTAGGTCAACTTGGACCATCGATCATGTACTATCAAAACTGGTGCATGCTTTTTCTGCACTTCTTCTGTGATGACAGTGTCATCCACTGAATTCATGAAACAATAGTCAGCTGAGATCACAGGAACTGTTTCATCTGAATGATCTACTTTGACATGTCTCATTGCCTTTGCCTTACCTCGAATGCAATGTTCACACCAACTCCTAAAAGGATAATGGCTGACAAAATGCTCTTCTTTTTCTCTCTGCGTCGGCGCTGCTGCAGTTGGTAGCGCTTGAGAACCTAGCTTACTACTGCCCGGTTCATCATCTCCACTACCTGCGCTCTCTGTGGTCTCCACAGGACTTACGCCTTCAACCCTTCTGTGGGCTGCCCATGAAAATCCATGGCTATCTTGAAAACACCTCCAGTCATGGTGACTGGAACCTTCTTGGCTCCCCTTTGCAGAAACGATCCATTGGGGCCGAAGGTTACTGTCCAGCCTTTCTCAACCAGCTTGGACACAGACAACAATGGCTTTGCAACATCCATTGCCCGGAACTGTCCCACACCTTTGACTTGTGGGCCTCCTTTCTCACCCATGGTCACCATAGGGTTGCACACCCCATGCACCTGGACTGGCTGCCCTGATGCGTGGGTGAACGGCTTCTCATCCACAGGTGTCATAGCCAACTCCAATGACTGTGCCAATTCCTTGGGTAGGCAACTGGTTGCTGCCCCTGAGTCAACGGTGGCCCAAACAATGGTATCCACCGGAGATGCCAAATTTCCCAAGAAATCGAGGTTGGAGTCTGATCGAACTCCTCCTCCTGGTGAATGCTCCCTGGGCTTGGGAGATGGCGTTTTCTCCTTCTTCTTCTTGGCTTTTCTTTCTATGCAGTTGGCTGCATCACGCAACGTCTTCTCCAGGAATCTCTTGGTGCCCATGCTGAACTTCCCCTTGCCCTTGGACGCCTGTGCTGAATCAGCCCGGCTGTCCTCAGGCGCTCTCGATGGGGATTTGGACTTCAGCTCGATGGGTGCTCTGGGTGCCTCTTCTTCTTCTTTCTTTTCTTCTTTCTCCTTCCCCTCAACCTTCTCTTTCTCCCCTGGCCTCTTGGGGATCTTCTTCACCTCGGGCTTCACTTCATCTTTGCCCTTGTACCTGAAGCGCTCATAGTGCTCCTCAAAGTGCTGCTTGCGCTTCTTCTTCTCTTCATCCTTGGCAATCTCTTGGCGCTTCTTTTCATCTTTGGCTTCTGCATCATCCATGGGGCGCTTCTTGGATGATTCTCTTTCTTCTCGTGCCTCTCTCTCTGCCTTTGCCTGACGATGTTCTTTCTTCCAAAATTCCAGGGCATACTGAGGATAGCATTGCTTGTTCTCCACATGTTGCCAAAAGCTTGCAACGCTCGCGGAGTTGAGTGCCTTTCCACATGACTGGCACTTCACATAGGGATACCCTTTGTTGGAGACAGTTTTGCACTTCTCATGCAACTCCTTGAATGGAATGGGTCTTCGAAAGGAATTCTGCCAATGCTCGACCACATCCTCCATGCCTGGTGCTGGCTCCTGGTTGTAGGGCAAATCGTCTGGATCTGTCTCATCAGAAGATCCTAGGTCAAGGACTTCACCATAGGCTTTCTCGTAGGCTTCCTTCAAGACGTTGTCCAACTTGCTGAGGACTTCAGGATCGGTTTTCAGCTTTTCAAGTCTGCTGACAAACTCATATCCTTCAGAGGAAATGCTCTCCTCAGAGGAAATCTCACACTTGTCATGGATCCATTGTGGGATCTCATCCTTGCTCATCTCTTTCATCTTCTCCTTATTGGCCTTCTTCCTAGCTTCATCTGCCCTTCGTCTTTCAGACCTGTGATGTCCTCCTCTATGGCGCTTAGGTTCCAGCTTTCTTGCTTTGGGAGGTTCAGGACGATCTCCCATGTCATCCTGGTCCCACTTGTCGGGGTTGGCCTGTCCATGGGTGGCCAACTCATAGCGCTTGAAGCTGGATGCTCTTTGTCCAGCAGTGGCTGCTCGATGACTGGCAGCTCTCTGCCTGTCCTTCTCCTTCTTCTTGGCACTTCTTGGATGTACCCCAGCATCAAGGTCGGCTTGCATCCGACGAGAGGGTGCAGCCGGTGCTGAAGCAGCACGGCCTTCTGCCCTCACTTTGGCCATTGCCTCTTTGGCCTCTTTCTGATGCTGGGCTGCCTCTTTCTTCAACTTGTCCAGGGCTTCTTGGCGTTCCTTAAGAGCTTGATTTGCTTGACGCCCTTTGTCCTGAGCTTCTTTGACGGCGCTCTCAGCCTGAGCAATCATCTTGCCAAACAGCTCCTTGTTAGACCCAGAAGCTGATGCCAAAGCGCTCTGAGCCATCACCATAGCGCTCCTGGTCACAGTGCTCCTTGAAGGTGCCTGAAGGTTTGCTCGTCTTGGGCTTCGACCACGACGAGAGGATTCATCTCGAGCTTCAGACTTGGGTGGCATAGTGTCTTCCAAGGCAAACAGCGCAGTGATCTCTGGTTCAGGTTGATCACCAGATGAGGCTGCAGGTTGTTGCTCTTGAGCCCAAGTGTCGGACTCAACATTAGCAACTTTACGACCTTTGCCTTGATCACCTTTACCTTTACTTTTGTCTTGACCTTTCTTGCCTTTTCCTTTGCTCTTGGAGTCATTGGTGTTTTGTTTATACCAAGACTGCTGATTCCAAGATTGATTGTTCCAAGAACCCTTGTGGTATGAATTGTTTGACCAAGACGCAGACTGACTCTTACCTTTGTCTTTACCTTTTGACTTACCTTTGCCTTTCCCTTTATCTTGTTTTCCTTTTCCCTTACCCTTAGCAAGGGAATCCACATCCATGGGAACGGCTCCTGACTTTGCTTCTTTCCTGGTCTCGACATTCTCAAGGTAGGCCAAAACTTCAGCTTTCACCTGGTCATACGTGGTCAATCTCGAAGCCTGCAAGTCCAAATGATCTTGCAACTTGTTGGGACACATCTGCTGCAAGCAACTCCTGCAGATGTCATCTTCAAGTGGTTTCTTTCTCCTGTCTTCGTACTTTCTTTTCAAGTTCTCCCAACTCTCAAGCCCTTCTCGAAGCTTATCAAGACTGCATTGACTTGGATGCAGAACCTTTTTCAACAAGGCTGAATTGGCTTGAGGATTTTGAGGATCATATTTGCACAACAGTCGTCTCATGGCTTCTAGGCCAAAGTGGCTACCACGAGATGTGTTCTTGACAATTTCCAACGCTTCTCCCTCAGTCAATGATATGAGGGCTTGTCTAGCCTGAGCTGAAACTAGCTCGGCGCCTTCATCAAAGTCTACTTCTAGACTTGACTCAGTGATCTCTTTGTCACACTGAGACTCGACTTGTGCCACAATCTTCACAGCATTCTTGTGGCAACTTTCAACCCATGTCTTAAACTTGTACCACCAACTATCCCAAGTGCCTGATGCTCCAGTGAACTTATCAGGTTTGGGTATGCCTTTCAACTCCGATCTGTCTTTGTACTCAACAGATCTCTCAACATTTCTGTTGATCTGAAGCTGCTGGTTCATAGCCTCGGTCATTGCCTGATTCAACTGCGCCTGACCCTGAGTCAATTGGGCCATCATCTGCATAACCATCTGGGACATGTTGGGACCATTGCCTTGTGCTTGTTGTGGTGCTGGTGGAGTGCCTGGTTGCTGAGGTGGCTGCTGTTGCTGAGCCATCCTTAGTCGTTCTTCAGGTGCTTTGAGACCTGATTCAAGAGAACCCTTGGGTACCTTTGGAGATGCACTCCAAGGTTATGGAAGTATCTTTGGATTTTCCTGATTTTCAGGAGCTTGAGTGTCAACCTTTTCCAGTTGGCACTGGGTAGGCGCGCCAGAGCTGATGCAGCTCGGCGCTGACACCTACACATTCACAGCTGGGTATCAGAACCTCAGCTCCGCTACCATGAACAGAGAATTTGGGCTCTTAAATCTGATGAACACTCCTGAGCACTGATCAGCACCTTTTACTCAGTCAGCTCGAAGGTAGCTGAAAGCACTAAAATTGCTAAAATGGCTTAAATGGCTGCAGCACATATACAAACATATGTACTACATGTAACATGGTCTACACTGTACACATATCTGATCAATATGTGCATATATATATATATGTATGTACTGTATATGTATATATATATGTATATATATATGATTGGTATTTACATATAATCATGTATGTACATATGTTCAACACATATATCATATATCTAACCGTATATATATGTATATACATATACATATGTATACACAAATGAGTATATACATATACATCTATGTGGCTAAATTCAAATACTTCACTAATCTGAATTAAGGCCATTTGGGGATGGATTCCCTTATTAACCATCATTCCAGTGACATCGCGGTGAGATCTTTATATTTCATACATATATATATATATATATTATATATTGCATATAATATATATCTGGGTAAATTATAATATTTCACAAACCTGAATTAAGGCCATTTGGGGATAATTGCCCTTATTAACCATGATTCCAGTGAGGTCGCAGTGAGGTCGTTATAATTTACCCAGATATATATATATATATATATATATATATATGCATATGTCAGTTTTAGGTATACAAAGGGCAACTTTGAGCAGTGTAGAAAAAATACCTTGTGCCTGCATCCATCGTTTCACCACACTAATCATAAATCTTCTGGGTCCTTTGAATCATGTCATGAAAATCATATTACATAAATTATGATATATTAAACATGTTAAAAGTCCATATCTTGGTCAGGGTGCATCCCATATCTTTCTCACCATTTCCGAAAATCTCCCCCCATTCCGTGCCAAGTAGCAGTTGTTACATGCCACGCCCTGCCGCCCCTCAGCACAGCTGCCCAGCACCAATCCTGGGCATTCCAGGCTGTTGCGACCTCGCCAAGGTGACCGCTGGTACCCGGATGGTACCCGGATGGTCATAGCTGGTGGATGGTGATTCTCCCAGTCATAATGGTAAATGCATAGGTTTTGACCCCATCCCTTCCAAAAATATATGTCACTTGTTTAGATTCATATGATATAGTATCATGGGGTTGTCGGAAACTCTGTCGCTCAGATTGGCTCCCCATTCTTATGAGGAATATGGATACCCCTAGCTCCGAAGCCCCCCAACCACTGGATAGCATCTGAGTTTGAAAAACATGTCTTGGAAATCCATTGAAAAGAAAAATAACGGAACTATGACTTGGGCAAGATGGGAAATGCTGGGGAAAAAATATACTGTATTGGAAATCTATTCGGATAAAGAAAATACAAAACAGTTTGCAACAGATTTCTCTATTAAATAAACAGAGATTGCAATATTGCAATATTGATAATTCTGTTCAATGAAGGGTATTCTTATCCAACTAACACCAAGGCTTTGAGGATGATTATCTTCGTATTAGTTTCCATAACTATGATGTGGTTGGGAAGCTGTCAAGTAGCTCCAACTGGCTCCTTTTTCCCGGAATAGATGGATACCCCAGCCACTCCTTTGCTCCTTCCCACGGGATAAAACCAACCCTTACCCTCCGGGAATCAAATACCATAGATGATTATCCCAGCTAGAAACCTCCATTTGGTTCGGGGATTTCCCAGCTAGCCACCTTTGATTACCGGAGGATATGTTCCATTCATCACCATTCATCGCCATGCATCACCATTGTTAACCACTATATACTAACGGTTGATCATCCCGGAGGGTATATTCCATAATCACCATTACCAGTCATTACCATTAAACATGATATATTATAATCCGCTATTATCCCCTTGTCATTCCACATAGCCACGTTTGATTACCGCAGATTAAACATCAACAAATAAACATCAAACGTCATAAAACAGTCAAAAGTCAGCAGAAAAGGCTTTGAGAAAAAACCTTTGAAACGCTATGATCTCATCATTCATCATGAACCATTCCCATATCTACCATCCTTAGCCATCATTAAATCCCAAAAAAATGTATACCGGTACAGATCCCATGAAAAATTCACCAGTTGGTCATGGCCAAGCGACACTGCAGCACCTCGAAGCCGCAACCAACCTCCGTGGAACGTCTGGGTGTCCAGCGCCCGGGTTTCTGCTGGGGCAGCTCCAGCCCAGCAGAACAGCAGAGGCCCCTGGGGCACGAAACGCAGCCCGAGACGCCGCCGGTGCCGTTGCAGAGGAAGGTGCCTTCGGCACAACGACACCTGAGCCCAGCGTCATGAGATCCTGTTGGGATGGTACATGATGCTGGGAGATGGTTGGTACATGAAACTGGTGCCTAACTCCGAATTCCCCAGGAGCTCCACCATTGATTCAATAGCAAACTCTAAACCTAAAGTAAATAGAACCCAAGATGATTTTCAAGATCAGTTCTCACTGTGCTACATGTGGAAATTCGGACATCCCAGTGAGTCTCCTCACATCATGGTGGACAATCGTCAATTGAGTGTGCTATGGAGATGCCGAACCAGACATTTCTCACACCCAAACAATCACAACATTAGTCACGTCAATCCTAAAACTATGATGACACGTGTGACTCCATGGCCAATCTTAGATACCCCGAAAAAAAAAACTTAGCTGGTTAGTAGATAATCCCATTGATACCAAAAGAATAAAAGATTAAATTACCCATCCAAGATTGACCTAGACTCCACGATTTTGCTTGATTCTTGAAACAGGATGTCTTGCGACATGATAGTTTCAGTAAACCTGGAGCAAGCAAACTCAATGGAAAACCCCAGATCCATAACCATTCAGAAGGGGCATGTTCAAGGGAAAACCTGAGACTGTTCGAATGCCGCTTTTGATCACCAAAGGGTTCAAATGCCAACTGCTTTTGTCATCTCCTTCTTTGTTCTTATTTCAACTTAGACTGCTCATCTCCTTGTTTTGTTTGATGAAAACAGAGATGGTTTGTTTCGTGTAGGGCTAATCTGTCAGAGGATTTCCCATTGCCATGGCTAATTCATATATAGGATGCAAAAGTCTCAGTGTTTAACAGGTTTAACACCACCAACTCACCATGATTATAAGAACAAATATGCGTACGCATGTGTATATATATATATAACTATATATATAACTATTAACTATATATATATAACTATATATAAAATTATTAAATATATATATATATATTTAATTTATTAATGCATAAATAGATTTAATTATCTATTTATTATATCTATTATATACAGTACATAGGTGTGAGTGTAAACATTGCTATAGATATCGTTATGCTACTGTATTCTATTTCGGTATATCTATCCCTAGTAAGCCACGGGCTTCAGAAACCATCGCCAGGCTAAGCTCTGGGCTCGGCCACGGCTTGTGCCCCCCTCTCCTCGGTCTCCATGTCCATGCCACAGCTGATGCAGCTCAGGGCTCCATAGGACGGCCTCGGGACGGCCCTGGGATATCTTGGGATATCTTGGGATCCACTGACGTTGAAAAAAACTGGGGACTACCTGGGGACTAGGTACTGTTGGGGTACTGTTGATTTATGGGGGAGTTTATAAACCAACTTGTAGCTGGGAGACCTCACCTTGTCTCTAGCCACTCTTGGGGTTTTGAAACCAGCAAAGTTGGGATCATGCGGCCTCTTCTGGCCACATGCTCACTTAAGAAGTGGAACTCAATGGCATGTGCTGGGGGTGTAATGGGATATACCATATACATAAAGGGATTAACAAAGACTATATAACGTCTTGATTGGGATTTCAGTAACTGCTGTAATTATCTGGCCGGAAAACGACCAAATAGCCAGGCAAACTTACCAAATACAAATGTTTATCACTTGATGTAACCTACATATCTGAACAGATCATGGCCACCCTTGGACACAAACATTGAGCTGAACATCGACCAGGACGAGAAAAACGAACATGTTTTGATTTTTTTTCCATAAACCTGTTTTTTTAAACCAATCAACAGGACAGGTTTAGCATAATTGCGGTTTTGCATTTCAGCTTTAGCCGCTTCGGTTTAATTCCCAACCACCCAGCGGATCCCAGCGGCATATACTGTCCTTTCGGACACTTCTCGCATGCCTCGAGCCCTTCCGTTGCGCCGTAGAACCTGCGCGGCGGGATGATCAGAATCGGTAACTGGGGGCTGGGAGCTGGTCTGGGAGGTTTTTTTGTTGAATAAACAATACCCGGCCTGGTAAACATACAAAAAACTATGGAAAATCACAATTTTATAGCTGGGGTATTGTAAATCAACTATAAACCACCATGTTCAAAAGCCATGGCCATGTTTACCCTCAGAGGGTAAAAGAAAACATGTGACTTTTTAGTCTCAAAAATAGGGGTGTCCTACTGGGCCAAAGAATGTGAAAGTCAAGCGGGATCATCGTCGCATCGATCATGTTTTATCTATCGACTTTCAACGACATCGGCACGGGTCGAGAGTCACTCAATTTGACAATTTACCAAAAAGTTCCCCATTTGGTGGAATTAATATATATACATATATATATATACCCAAATAAACTTATTCACCGCGCGGCTTCGCACATCACCAGTCACATCCACAACATTTCTAGACGACCCCTCAAAAAAATGGTGTCCTAGTTGGATCCCTTGCTCAGTTTCCCAAAACTACACGCAATTGCCCATGAAACAATCCAATGGGGACCTCACAATACCCCAAATGAATGAAATACCCATGATCATTTCATGAACGCCCGAAAGAGGTGGGCACCCCTAGCTAGCGAAGTTAGTTTATAACTAGGTTCACTATAGTTTCTGATACATGTAACTAATGTATACTATAGCTTGTTGTACTTGCAATGGTGTTTGTATCCATCATTATCCCGTTCTCGTACGATTACTTCAATATGGGATACCCTCTGGAAATTTAACATATGGACAATTGCCCATTGATGATCCATCTGTTCAAATGCTTGCTTTCCTATGTTAAACTACCGAAATCCCATGATTGTCCTGCTGCTGTCCCATTATTCTTCCATCTTGATCCCAATATTGGATTCTAACTCTTAGGTAGTGAGCTATCCATAAACCAATCTCTCTCTCTCTCTCTCCAGCGCCATCAGTTCCATAAACCAATGTGGTTGATAATTAATGCAAAAAAGGTCAGAAAAACCATAGATTATATACTCCAATAACCTGTTATTATCCATTGCTATGATCCATTATGATCCCATGATTGTTATCCCAAGATTCCAAGATCAAACCCAGAGACGTGATACTTAATCTCTAGTTCCAAGTAACAAAACAGCGCAATTATATGATGTCTTTTTGGGCCGGCAAGATTTTTCCTAGTATTCGTTGTCCTCTATGCAATTCCACTTTTAGAATTCGGTCGTATTTGTTTTCCTTCATATCTTTTCTCTCTTGTCATGTCCTTTCATGCCCTTCCACATCTTCCATTTTAAATATATATATATACATATATCTGTGTGTGTTCCTTGTTTATGTATGTTTATGTTTTTCTCTTACCATGATTAGGTAGTTCTTAGTACTTCCTATTCCTTTTCTCTTCTTGTTGTTATGTGTTTTTCCTCATCCGTTTTCTTGTCCTGCTTCCCTTTAGAAGATTGACAAGGCCCCCAACCAAGGGTTTGAAACGTTTGAAACCAGCTCGAAATCCTAGAAATAAGAAACACATACTAAGAGTTTAACATCAGACTAAATCTAGATTTAGTTTTAATTCAAACCGATTCAATTCAACATATATATATATAATATACCCTCTGGTTATTTAACATAGCCATGGAAAATGGCCCATTTATAGATGGTTTACCTGGGTTTACCTATTCAAAATTGTGATTTTCCATGGCTATGTTAAATAACTAGAGGGTATATGTTCAAAATGGTAAGGAGCCAAGAGCCAGGCTAGCCCGACTCGGGATCCTCCACAATATTTTTTGCGCCTTTTTTTCAATTTCTCATGGGGGAAGGGGGTTTACACCTTCATCGCATTGAACGCCCATTACATGGTATACCAATGAAAGGTTGGAAAAAAAAAACTGTAGAAATTTAGCTACAAGATTTCTATAGCATACAATGCCATATATCTATAGATACACCTATAGGCATAGGTGGCTTATAGTCCTATTGGTCAACAATACAAACAATCTTTTATAATGATAAGTTAATCTATAGGTCACCACCATCATCAGCATCATCATCATCATCATCATAGGTCATACTATTGACCCTATCATCAACTACTGATCTATAGATACGACTATAGCTGGTTCACAATACTAGTGACCAACCAACCAATATAATCAACCTAGTGACGATACATGTAGACCATGAATCTATAGATCATAGGTCATACTACAATGAATCCTATCACCTAACTACTAATCTATGGGTATCAGCTATCAAATTCTAGATATCAACTATAGTTGATGATAGGATGAACATATCATATAATTAGTGTGGGAGAAACAATCATAAACCACCCATTTGGGAATTACCAGCGAATGATGGTGAAATTGGGGTGGTTTATTGTTTTACCAACATTTAACTGTTTGACTCTTCATAGCTATGAAATCATGTCCTGAAAACATTCCAAGGATTTAGAGTGACAATTCTTTCAGTATTATGTATTATGAAAAATATTATGTTGTTTCTATTTCTGTGGGTCAATACATGATGTATCTACCGATGAGGCGTCTGGGGTCAGCCACCAGTCGGGTGGCCCTGGCGGACAGCTGATGCACTTCGTCGAACCCATTTCCGCCGCAAAGGTGCCGTTGGCGCAGGGCCGGCAGAAAGCGGCACCGCTGCGGTCGGAGAAATGTCCTGATGGCCATACTTTCCAGGGCAAAATGGTGAGAAAATGGTCAGAAAATGCTGGAAAATGGTGGGATGATGGCTCTGACCATTGGAAAAACGGTGAAGATGATGATGCTTAGGCTGAAATTAGCATCAAGAAAGTTGAAGCTTGAGGATTTATGATGGTCAATGGCCAGATTTTTCATTGGGAAAATCCGAGGAAATTGGTGGAAAATGACGGGGAAATGGGGATTAACGTGCCAGAAGCCATCAACAATAGTTGGGTGAAAATCATGTTTCAGCCAAAAAGTATCCAGAAACAATTGGGGATTTATGATGGCCTTTTAATGAGGAAAATGATGTTCAAGCCGCACCGGATTTATGACTATATTTGAAATTACATGTACATGATGGGGACTTGACATGGGTTTATCAACTAACTAACTGCTAAGAGGGATGATCTTTCAACCATGAATTCGTTGAAAATTGATCTACCGGCAATCAAACGTGGTACTTGAAAAATCCTCCATGGCATCATGGCGTTTTCATCGACATCATCTCTAAATGGTGGCTTTTCCATTGTTTTCCATTGCTATCACCCGGTAATACGGTGCCGTATTTCTCCGTCCCGTGGCGGCGCCTCGGGAGCATTGCTGCGGCACGCCATCACTGCAGGAAAAACCCCGAGGACATGAGAGGCACAGCTGGGAGAGCACGTCCTGAGCCCAGTTTTTCACTGCTGAGATGCTCATATTCCCCATGAAAAGATATGAAGCCAGTGCAACTTATTGGGATACACAGACTAAACCTTGATCCTGAACCAGGTTGTGATATCATATTTCAGATCATATTTACATCATCTTTTTGGTAAATGAATAAGCCCATTATAACGATAGATCCATCATCTTATTTTCACGTGTCCCTCACCCGTGCTTCGGTCGTCCTTGTAGTAGCCTGCAGCGCAATTTGTTGTCTCCGAAGGCGGCATCGATGACGACACACCTGGGTAGATATGTCAAGACATGCTCAGGGAATGTCAGGAAATGGGCGAGTGCATGCGGGCACATATGCATATACACATGCGCTCTTGTTATAAGAAACAAATGTACATATGCACACACACACATAACATGTGCTCTGTAAGCATAATATACAGACCTTTCAGACCAGATGGATCCATATGGGAGGTTGTCCAGACTAATCGGGGATTTCCTGCACTCCCAGTCTTTGGCAACTTTCACGGGGAATCTGGTGATTACTTAACTGTTGGATTTGGGGTAGGGGCCCCGCCTGTTGGGCAAACCCAGGTCTTCTGAAATTTATTGAGTTGCTCTACACAAATACAGCCGATTAGCAGTTGCAAAGAACAGCACACTACTTGTCAGATCTTAACCAGATACATGCACAGTTGCAAACCCATGGCTTCGAGCTGCTTGCTCAGAGGCGGTAAAGAGTTGGGAGAGACACAGGGCAATGGTTTAGAAATATCATGAAATATCTTCTCCGACCAGCCACTGGATCACGGACGTACAATACATTCTTGTGCTAATGTGATAAGCCAGGCTGGAAGCTGGCCAATGCAGGTGCACAACGGCATGGCTGAACTCAGCAGCCAACTGGAAATGAGGTTGAATCTTAAGGCTGGTGGTTGAAAAAAAACGTGTTCGGACACATCCAAATATCATAGCAAGTTGGTTATCTAATATGTCATATCATATTGATCATATCTATATATACTAACCATCGCAAAGATCGAACAGTGATTTATCACTAGGATTTGACGTTTCTATCTTTCGTGGTTCACCATGATCGAATCACCAAATTTCCGGTGCCTAAACCCGGCTGTTTCATTGGGGGGTACCATATCCAGAAGACTATCACTGTTTGGAGGCTACCCGCATTATTAAAATACACCATGGCTTATTAATCTAGGCTTGACATGAAAATCGTTGAACATCTCAAGAACATCCTAATTATCCTTGATTCCAATGGTTTTTTTGTCGAAAATCTGGATCCGAGAGGCCAAACTGCCAGTAAGGCGTGGTGTCCACAGTCAGATCCCCTGTATTTGCGCTGAAACTCCCGATCACCTCGATGGTGGTGAAGGCGCTCCAAGGTTTAGGCAAGATATGGGGGACCTTCATTTATACCATAGACCTATGTATATATATAACTATATATTATATATGCATATAAATGCATACATTTGCATATTCATGTAGCTTGGAATAAACTTGAATGTGGGTATGCATATATATATATATAATAGATATATACATTCCTATATTCATGAAACATCCACGGTTTCCGCTGAAGCTTTTGCCTTTTGCCAGTCCATTGAAGGAATTATGCTGCATATGTTCTGGGCATTTCTCATTTTTGGGGGAGGCTGTGTTTCCCAGGAACTTAGTTCAGCAATTATTGTGTCACACATACCTCTATATATATATATTTATATATATTTATATATATATACAGGGGGTAGATTGATTAGAATCCCCATGGTTGATTCTTAAAATCCATCAAAACTTCATTCAATTCCAACTAAACACAACGGTTTATTGATGACACAACGGACCCCAAGGTGCCCCAAGGGTGGTGCCCAAGTGGCAGTCCATCCCGTAGGTCGATAATTCAGCAATTCATAGGCAGCCAAGCGGTCACCGTTTTCATCGAAACTCACCAGTCCTCGCGCACCGAGCTGGCGGTTTTGTGTCAAAGTTATGTTTTACATCAAATGAAAAATGTAGATTAAACTCTACATACATAGATTTTTGTTGAAATGGAGGTACCCCAATTGTTGGATGGTTTATAATGGAAAATCCTATGAAAATGGAAGGTGTAGGGGTACCCCTACTTACTCCCTACTTTAGGAAACCTCCATATATGTATCTTGTATGAGAAATCGACTTGCACGTGTGTGTACATGTGAATATGTTTGTACTCTTATATATATATATATACAACGCACAAGGATAGAGCGCGGTGATTGCTGAATACATTTTCAAAAAATCACACTATTTCAGCTGGATGTTACATTTTCGCTACGTGAACTATCTTTTTGGGGGGTGCTACAGTACGTATATGTATATATAATAACAATAATAATACTAATAATTTAATAATAATTTAATAATAATAATATTAACAATAATAGTAATATATATATATATGTATATATGATTATATATGTATATTATATATATATGTGTTTTTCTGGAGTAGGTTGAATATAGATATTTTAAAAAACGTCAGAAAATGTGAATATGATTGAAAAATTGATGTTCTATCTACTTCAGGGCAATTTTTATAAATCATACACATGAGTTTTGACTTGCGAGCATTTATAGATGACTTACCCACCTATGAACCTCCATTTATGCGGGGTTTCCCAGCCAAAACAGGGCGGGCCGTCCTGAAATCCCCTCGAAGTTGCCTGAAAAGGCGACCCAAAATAGGGATCTTACCACCGGTTTTGTTCATAGGGTGGTATTATTGGGAGATCATCATCATCATCATCATCCTCATCATCATCATCATGATCATGATCATGATCATGTACTACGTGTATATTTATATATATATATAAATATCACTTTTGTCCCACTAGTGTCCCATTATATGTTAACTACACAGCCATCATATATACCCATGATGGAGGTATGTTGTCGCGGTCATCATCACCACAGACAGGGATCTTGGAACAACAATTTGGTGCACCAATTTGGCCAACTGCAGCAGCAGCTGGAAAAACTCCAACCGTTGTGCTACCAAAGCCGGTTAGAAACACAACGTTTTATCGGTGCAGTCTCCAACTGGCTCTCAGATTGTTCATTTAAATTAATTGAATGGTTTCTAGCCTTGAGATCCATTTATAAATAAATAGTTCAATGTCTGTCCCATTTAAGCCTCCATTCAGTACGGAGATTTTCCATCTAGCCATGTTTATTAACTTAGTGGTTTCAAGTTGATGGTGGGCTCATCGGTTCAGCAGGATGATATGACACGGAGAACATTCTCTATCGACGAAACTATGAAAACAAAACCAGTCCTCCTGAAATCCTTAGCAAATATCACCATCATGTCTTTCTCCAATTTTCTGTTTCCATCAGAGACCTTGCAAACCTTGGAGTGTCCTACTTAGAAAAATCCGTTGGTGATAGGTGTCGTGATATGTTCAGATTCTTACTATTCTATAGCAGTCCTTTGCAAATGGTTTTTCCCCTACCTATGAAGCAGGAAAAACGACAACCGCAGAAAATCCACTGTGCTTCCCAAATGGCTCTGCTTCAACTGGTTTAGCAAGAGCTCTTCCTTGATGTTCTGCAGATCAGTTCCGCTGTTCAGCAACGCGTTGATGGCAAAAATGAAGGCATAACCTGGAGATGTGTGGGGGCAAGGTGAGCTTAATTCAACTTCACATGTCGCATCCGGATTTGATTCCCCCCGCTGTTCAACAGGCATTTTCTTTCCTTAAGGCACCCAACCCTTGGCTGTGTTTGGTGGTTCACCCACGACTTCCTCAAGCTTCGGTCGCACTTTGTGTAAGAAATCTGGGAAAGAAGGTTGAACCAGGATTTTAATGTATTATATAATCAAAGGAAGTTGGGAAGCAATACTTCCGTGCTACGGACAAAATAGAATTGTGAGGCTTGACCTTGATGAAGGGTGGTGTGAGACTTTACACTACATAACAATAATCACAAAAGAATTGACCTTGATTAAGGGCGGTGTGAGACTTTACACTACATAACAATACATCACAAAAGAATTGACCTTGATGAAGGGCGGTGTGAAACTTTACACTACATAAAAATACAGTACATCACAAAATGAATTGACCTTGATGAAGGGCGGTGTGAGACTTTACACTACATGACAATACATCACAAAAGAGTTGACCTTGATGAAGGGCGGTGTGAAACTTTACACTACATAACAATACAGTACATCACAAAATGAATTGACCTTGATGAAGGGCGGTGTGTGACTTCACACTACATAACAATACATCACAAAAGAATTGACTTGCATGAATGTTGCATGGGGCTTGTGTTGGGAGGAAGCCGGAGCACGAAACCTTGCATTTTTCCATGTAAAGTGGCTGCAGGCGGCGATGAAAGGTACCTCCTGTGTGCGGCGGGTGCGGCTGCGGTCGGTTTGCTTTTTTTTGTTGCCGCATTGTAACGGTGGCTTCAAGCTGCTTTGGCTGTGCTTGTGTGTGTGTGCGTAGTTATAGGGTGTTTTGGAATCTGCGGTTGCAGATCGCATTGGAATGGCTGCATGATTGTTGTCATCTGGTGTTGCCATGTGCGTAGATACGTGCAGGTTTGCGACGTGATGCTGCGAAACGCATTGTAATGGCTGCATGCGTAATACTATTGGCGTTTGCAGCTGAAGATCGTAAATCGTATTGGACTGCATCCAGGCTGCGATAGTGATTTGTCAGCAGATTTTCGTAATTTTGGCGCTAGCAATTTTCTTTTTAAAAATCCTTGTAAAAAGTGCTTAAAAATCGTATTTTTTCTGCTTTGGCGTCGAGATCCGGTTTTGGAGCTGCAATTTCCGACGCCGTTGCGCGTAGTTCTCTTGTGTTTTGCAACTCAGCCCCTGCAGATCGCATTGTAGTGGCTGCGTCAAGGTTGCTTGGTGCCGCGCCTGCATGTGTAATACTGTTGTCTTGTCCAGCTGGATCTCGTAAATCGTATTGGAGTGGCTGCATCAAGGCTGCGAAAGTGATTTGTCAGCAGATTTTCGCAATTTTTGCGCTAGCAATTTTCATTTTAAAAGTCCTTTTAAAAAGTCTTTCAAAATCGTATTTTTTCGCTTTGGCGCCGAGATCCGGTTTTGGAGCTGCAATTCCTGTTGTGATTATGTACAAGAAAGTTTCTCTGTGTAAAAACTTGTTTCTGTAAAAGCTTGCTGTGTGCAAAAGATTTTGTGTGTAAAAGCTTGCGTGTGTAAAAGCTTCTCTGTGTGTAAAAGCGTCTCTGTGTAAAAGTTTCTGTGTGTGTAAACGCTTGCCATGTGTAAAAGCACTGTGTGTAAGTGTTCTGTGTGTAAACGCTTGCTGTGTGTCAAAGCTTGCTGTGTGTAAAAGCTGTTGTGTGTAAAAGCTTCTCTGTTTAAAAAGCTTGCTGTGCGTGTAAAGGCTTGCATGTGTAAAAGCACTGTGTGTAAGTGTTCTGTGTGTAAATGCTTGCTGTGTGTGAAAGCTTGCTGTGTGTAAAAGCTTCTCTGTGTAAAAGCTTGTTGTGTGTAAAAGTTTCTGCGTGTAAAAGCTTCTCCGTTTAAAAATCTTGCTGTACTGGGAAGTGCTTAGTGCAAGGTTTGTCGTACAAAGTAGCACTGGGAAGTGCTTTGTGCAAGCTTTGTAGTACAAAGTAGTACTGGGAAGTGCTTTGTGCAAGGTGTGTCGAACAAAGTAGTACTGGGTGCAAGCTTTGTAGTACAAAGTAGTATTGGGAAGTGCTTTGTGCAAGCTTTGTAGTACAAAGTAGTACTGGGAAGTGCTTCGCGCAACCTTGGAAGGACAAAGTCGTACTGGAACGTGCTTTGTGCAAGCTTTGTAGTGCAAAGTAGTACTGGGAAGGGCTTTGTGCAAGCTTTGTAGTACAAAGTAGTACTGGGAAGTGCTTTGTACAAGCTTTGTAGTACAAAGTAGTACTGGGAAGTGCTTTGTGCAAGCTTTGTAGTACAAAGTAGTACTGGGTGCAAGTTTTGTAGTACAAAGTAGTACTGGAAGTGCTTTGTGCAAGCTTTGTAGTACAAAGTAGTACTGGGAAGTGCTCTGTGCAAGCTTTGTACTACAAAGTTTGTAGTACAAAGTAGTAATGGAAAGTGCTTTGCGCAAGCTTTGTGGTACAAAGTATTTTGGAGAGGCTTTTCGGCTTTTCTGTGTAAATGCGCCTGTGTCCCAAGTTTCTGTGTGCAAAAGCTTTCTGCGCCCAATGGTTTTTGCGTGCAAGAGACTTTCTCTCTCACAGTAAGAGCTTTCTGGCGTGCAGAACAGCTGAGATGAGTTGAGGCGAACTTCGAGGAGATGAGAAAGGTTGCTCAGTGCTCGGATGAGATGAAAACAGTTGAGAAGAACTTACTTTAGATGACATGTGAGAAGAGATGGGATGACATGAGAAGAGCTGAGAGGAGGTGAGAAGAGCTCACATGATTTGAGATGAGATGAAGTGTGGAGTGTGAAGTGCAAGTGTGAAGTGTGAAGAATGCAATGTGAAGTGTGAGGAAAGTGTTTGATTGACGTTGCATTGCACCGGGGTCGCGCGCAGGTCATGCTCTTGGACAACAACACTGCAACAGCTTCGCACAAAGCACGCACGCACGGGCCTGGATGGCGCACGGCGCATACAAGTTCCTCAGTAGTAGTACTGGGAAGTGATTCATGAAAGCTTAAATGACATATGAGACGAGATGAGCTGGGATAAGGTGAGAAGAGCTCAGATGAGATGAAGTGTGGAGTGTGAAGAGTGCAGTGTGAAGCGTGGGGCGTGAAGAGTGCAGTGTGAAGTGTGGAGTGTGAAGTGTGAAGTGTGGAGTGTGAAGAAAGCAGTGAGAAGTGAGAAGTGTGAAGTGTGGACTGTGAAGTGTGAAGTGTGGAGTGCGAAGAAAGCAGTGAGAAGTGTGAAGTGTGGAGTGTGAAGTGTGGAGTCTTAAGAGCGCAGTGTGAAGTGAAGTGGTGAGTGCGAAGAGTGCAGTGTGAAGTGTGGAGTGTGAAGTGTGGAGTGTGAAGACTGCAGTGAGAAGTGCGAAGTGCGAAGTGGAGCTTCAAATGTGACATGTGAAACAAGACACCGCTTTCGCAGAGTGCACGCACGCACGGGCTTGGCTGGCGCACGGCGTATGCAAGTTCTATAGATGAGAAAGTCCTTATATATCCTTAAGGCAACTTCCGCCCCGCCTCGTGCGGGTACTACTGGTATATTATATATATATATACTTAGCATATACCCTCCGGCAATCTAAAACAACTCTACGAATGGGCTATTTTTCATGGCAAACATCACCTGAGCCAGCATGAATCAGCAAGGTAAAGGTGACTCAAATCCCCACGGGTTGACTGGATCTGTGTTCCAAAGCACCGCGCACCGAAAATTGCGCATGTTTTGCCCCCAATGTTTCGAAAGAAACGATATCAGCTTTCTTCAACCTTAACTGACTCACAGACCCCAAAAAAAACGCCGAAAGAAAAACAAAAAAAACATGGCCCCACGGCCAGTCACATGCGTCGAAGAGTTGGCTACTGTATCCGGGGATGAGCACATTTTCGAAGGCTGCATCTGTGACAGGCGGCACCTCAGATTCACGATGGTTGCAAAGTGCAGCTCCAAAATGCCCAAGAATTCCAATGAATCGAAGCGTCTAAATTAAAATCATTGTTATCATTAACATATCATAACCATTCATAATCAATAAGTAATTATATATATATAATATACATATCTGTTATAACTCACCAACCGTTTTCCAAAACCAAAAAGAAGAGATTCCGCAAGTGTGAAGCAACCAACGGGAAGCTCATCTTCGGCAAGATCAATATACACATCCGTATCCTAAGTTTGCTGTTTGTCTTCCCCATTGGATGGAAATAAATCTTTAGAAGAAACAAACCGAACCAACCAACAGTTGGATGTTTTCTTGAGTTTCTTCTCGCGCCTCGGCATCTTCAATGGGCACTCGGAAGTTGTTCAGCTTGTACCTGTCCCTTGCTGCGGTGCCCACCACATCCTCTGCCTTCATGGAGGCCTGGAGGTGGAAACAAAATGGTGGCTTCCATAGGAACAAATGCAGGAAAATGTGGAAGTGTGACCACTAGTGTGCCATGCCATGTGGGAATGTCAAAATTGTGGCAATCAGCAATTGCGGGTATGCCCCCAATTCGCACTTCCAGTGGAATAGATGATGGTAAACCATTGGTTGTGCTGCTGCCAAAATATTGAGACAACCCCCCGTTTTTGAAGCAAGTTCACTCAAGTCGTTCATCATGATCACCATTTCAAGGAGTAAAAACATGTTTATTGGGGTGGGCAATATCAATCAACAACGACCACTCATATGACGCGCCATGTTCACCACATGTTTAAGATATACCAATTCCTACCGTTTGCGTTGTGCCAATAATTGCTAATGGCATATACGCAATGATTTTGGAAAGTTCTTGAGCTAGTTTCAGTGATAGCATTGCTCCTTCTGCTGTCTTCTTGAAGAATTTTCGCTGCACATTCGCATGTTTCCGGTCATTCATCCCCATGTTTCCAACAGTATAATCACGGACACCTTATAAGCAGAAAAATGCCACTGCCAGCAGACAAGCAGATTGAACGAAACCCTCACGTACCGTGAAGTTTTATCTGCTTATTACAATCCAAAATGCATTTATACCCCAAGATCCAAAATCTGCTTATTACTTATTACTGTCTAAATGTATTCTGGGACCATGGAATTGTTTGTAGGTGACCCTTTAAAGGAACCCCTTTTCATTAGTGACACCGTGGCATGCTCATGTTCCCGTCAAATACCAGATTTTATTGGGCTACGCTGTGGAACCACCTATTGTACAATCCCTCCCCCCTAACATTAACATGTCTAGTATCAGATTTCTTCATTTTGGGCCCCTGATTTGGGTATATACTACTAGGGGGAATGGGCTAGATTAGCAAACACAAAGTATCAAACCTATTTCATTGGTTGGAACTCCCAACTGGTACCACCCCAAATAAGCAGATTGCTTGTTGCATCCTGGAAAAAAATCAGCCGCTCACCGCTCACCCCCTACACTTTCATCATTCATTTCTTCTTTCCCCATTCTTCCCGACCGCTTTCTGGGAGAAGGCTGCCCTTTCACAGCGTGCAAAAAAAAATACTTTACTTCGTGTGATCCCCACCATGACATTTATACGTTTTGTTACTGGCAAATCTTCTGACATTCTATCTGGCATATCTTCTGGCATTCTATCTGGCAAACATTCTGGCACTTTATCTGGCATATCTTCTGGCATCCTATCTGACATGCTATCTGGCGTTCTATCTGGCATATCTCCTGGCATTCTATCTGACATATCTTCTGGCATTCTATCTGGCATAGCTTCTGGCATCCTACCTGGCATATCTTCTGGCAGATGTTCTGGCATATCTTCTGGCATTCCATCTGGCATTCTATCTGGCATATCTTCTTCCATCTGGCATTCTATCTGGCATATTTTCTGGCATATTATCTGGCAAATCTTCTGGCATTCTATCTGGCAAACATTCTGGCACTTTATCTGGCATATCTTCTGGCATTCTATCTGACATTTTATCTGGCATTCTATCTGGCATACCTTCTGGCATTCTATCTGGCATATCTTCTAACATTCTATCCGGCATATCTTCTGGCACTCTATCTGTCATATCTTAGTAATGTCGGATCCTGATTAGTGTAGGGGCACCCCCCGCCCCCCTTGAACAATTCTGAGGGCCTCTTTAGTGTAGAAATTCTCATGATTTCGTGCCTGAATAGTGTAAAATCAAAAAAATGATTGATTTTAATTTACTTTCACTTGGTTTTAATTTACTTTCAATTGATTTTCAACTGACTTCAATTTACTTTCAATTGTTTTTAATTTACTTTGAATTGATTTCAATTGATGTCAACTTACTTTCAATGGATTTTCATTTGATATCAATTGATTTTAACTTACCCTCAATTGATTTTAATTTACTTTCAAATGATTTTAATTTACTTTCAAATGATTTTAATTTACTTTCAATTGATTTCAATTCACTTTCACTTGATTTTCAACTGACTTCAATTTACGTTCAATTGATTTTAATTTAGTCTGAATTGATTTCAATTGATGTCAACTTACTTTCAATGGATTTTCATTTGATGTCAATTCAGTTTGAATTTATTGTCAATTGATTTCAACTTACTTTCAGTTGACATCCCAAAGTAATCCCATAGAAATATCATAGAAACATCATGGAACTCCCATAGGAATGCCATAGGAATCCCATAGGAATCCCGCAGAAATCCCATAGAAACATCATAGAAATACCATAGAAATCTCATAGGAACCCAATGGGAATCCCACAAGAATACCATTGAATTCCCATAGCATCCCTTCAGAAATCCCATAGAAATCCCATAGAAATATCATAGAAATTACATAGAATTTACATAGAAATTTTGTCAAAATCCCATAGAAATACCATAGAAACCAAGGAGAGGATGCCAGGAGAATTGAACTAAGTAAGAGACAAAAGCTATAGCAAAGGAAAGGAAAAGGAAAGGAGAGAATAATTTTGGAATTGTTTACTTCCAAAAAAAAGCTGGACACAATAGAGGACCACCACAACAAACATCCTATTGAGGATCAGGATTGCTCATGGACTACCACCTTGAAAAATTGTTTGAGTGCTGTTGTTTAATTGGGTTTTAAAAATGCATCACATATTTTGGGAAATTAAGCATTTTGAGAATTCCAAAAGAATGGAGCTAAGAAAGTCAAAAAGAGAAAAGTATTAGCAAAGGAAAGGAAAAGGAAAGGAGAGAATGATTTTGGAATTGTTTTACTTCCAAAAAAAAGCTGGACACAATAGAGGACCACCACAACAAAAACAGCCTATTGAGGATCAGGATTGCTCATGGACTACCACCTTGAAAAATTGTTTGAGTGCTGTTGTTTAATTGGGTTTTAAAAATGCATCATATATTTTGGGAAATTAAACATTTTGAGAATTCCAAAAGAATGGAGCTAAGAAAGTAAAAGAGAGAAAAGTATTAGCAACGGAAAGGACAAGGAAAGGAGAGAATGATTTTGGAAAATGTTTACTTCCAAAAAAAGCTGGACACAATAGAGGACCACCACAACAAACAGCCTATTGAGGATCAGGATTGCTCATGGACTACCACCTTGAAAAATTGTTTGAGTGCTGTTGTTTAATTGGGTTTTAAAAATGCATCACATATTTTGGGAAATTAAACATTTTGAGAATTCCAAAAGAATGGAGCTAAGAAAGTAAAAGAGAGAAAAGTATTAGCAACGGAAAGGACAAGGAAAGGAGAGAATGATTTTGGAAAATGTTTACTTCCAAAAAAAGCTGGACACAATAGAGGACCACAACAAACACACTATTTAGGATCAATTTTGCTCATGAAAAAATGAAACAATTGAAAATAAAAAATCTTAAGGCAACAGTTGGACACAATAGAGGACCACCACAACAAGCATATTATTTAGGATCAAAATTGTTCATGAAAAAACTGAGAAATATTAAACAAAAAACTAAAAAATCAATTATAAAAAATAAAAAAAGAAAAAAAAGAAAGAAATTAAGCAACAAATTTTAAAAAACAATTTAAAACAAGTTAAAAATAATTAAAAACATAAACAAAACTAAAAAAAATACACCATTTTTTTTGGAAACAAAAGCGGCCCACCTCATCATTTTCCCAGGGCCTGAATTATTTCAATTTTTTTGGAAACAAAAGAGACCCACCACACTAATCAGGATCCAACATTGAGCTCTTTCCAAATGGTTTTTGAGTGGCAACCAGCAGAGAAAGCAGCATGTTTTCACACGTTTGTGGATTTCAGCCATTTGGAACAGCCAATCTACCTTGTGGGATTGACCTGTAAGAAGCAGATTCACAATTCCACCATTTTTGCACATAAAAAGACAAAATCCTGGAATCTGCTTATTACAGGGTCACTTTTGGGGCGTGTCATTTCTGGTAGGGTCTTATTTGAGGAAAATCCCTGGTTTTGAGGTGTCATAAGCAGATTAAAATCTTCTTTTAAGGCATCCGTGACTATAACACCATTTCCAACAATAACCCCCGCTGTAGCAACCCCCAAACGCAGAAAAGAAAATTCCAAGAATTGTTGGTGCATTCAATTTGTACACCTTTTTGGGGATTACTAATCCCATTCTCCAAATATTTAACATCCCCATTCTATGGTCTCCAGGTCATATGTGGCTTCATTCCCCACATCCACCAGGGGGGGGTGGGATCAAAAATCACGGGTTTTTCCCCGCGACGCCATGACGCCATGGCACACACATGGCTTCGAACTGTGGATACTTCGGTCCCTTCGATGCGGGATTCCAACGCATGGTGCCTCTGGGCATCGTGTCCCTATTTAGTAGGGCCTGCGGCGAGATTCCGGGAAAACCACGGGACCATGAGATGAAAAAATGTATCAAAATAGTATGATCTGTGCAGATACACGTGTAGATGAAAACCATGGGATAAAAATGTGGTCTTTACAAATCAAAACAGGTGTATTACAGTTCAATATTATGTATTATCATGTAATTATTGATGATCCCTTTTCCAAGACTTAGAATCTGGGTGGCATCCTTTTGCACATGGGGGTCTAATGAATCCCTAAACGGCAGTGGGAACTCCATGGGGCCACCACAAACCAGTCACGGATACAGCGAAGGCATAACCACCTCCAACATCCAAGCATGGAGGTTGTGTGTCCGAATACATCTGGTTTTTGTGGTAAAAAACCGCGAGTAACCCGGAGTGCACCCCCAAACACAGCTGATCCTTCCCCACCAAGTGCAGACCTCTGAACACAGAATTTGCCATCCAGTACCGAGCATGTTTGCCTGGCACGACTTAATGTCCTGGGTTTGTTGGGAATGAACGTTTGCAATATTTCTTGGGGAGGTCAAAAAAGACTAGCATTTATCTTGATTTTTCATATTTCGGGTGGTAATTATTTATGTATTGCGGATTCACCGTG